GAAATCCATATGGTTAGCAGGCACAAAGGGACAGGGACTGGACCTATGCAAAAGGGTGTGTGTTCAAAATATACCAAGCTGGGGATGTTTATGTTACAAGGGTACTGATATAGCTACAGGAAGTGAACAAGAGAGCATTAGGAGCCTTGATTGTCGAATCAGCTGTGATCTAGATTCGCATGTCTGTCAGGCGGGGAGGCGTGTTGATGGAGGTCTCGGGCATGTTGATGGGGTTATCAGGCGTGTTGAGGGAGGTTCTGCTGAGCTGTGAAGGTTGTGATAGAGGTGATGGTTACATGAAAGATGTACCTTCTTGGGGAGGTATGGAGATGGTCCTGAGGCTAAGAGTTAGGGACTTTTGTGGTCTATGATTGTGGAGCTGGTATTAGGCTGGCCTGGTTGTGGTCAAAACATGACAGTATCCTCAAGCGGTGAAGGTGGTAATGGAGAAGCAATACATAGGTGGACGTGATGGGAAGCTTTGATGTTACCTAGATCTCTTAGAGGTCAAGTATCCTGTACGAAGAACGAAACGAGACAAAACCTCAGTGTGGAACCAATAAGGTAGTAACAACTGAGATTTGTACCTGTACGAAGAACGAAACGAGACAAAACTAAGTAGCTAGTGAGTATCGACGAGTATAGGTACAAAATAAAAAGGACTCACCCTCAGTGTGGAACCAATAAGGTAGTAACAACTGAGGGTGATGAACGTGTGAAAATGACTATAAGTAAGGTGAATCACGTGCATCCAGAATGAATCGGCAACAAAAGGGAAAGCATCTCCCAACACACCCCCACCGATGAATGAAGGAAAAATATCAAGGTATGTCAGGGAGTGGGATTAGTCCAAGTGAAAGTGAGTGTTTGTAATGTAAATCGGTAGGTAAAGACTTTGTGAATATGTCGGCAATCATGTCAAGCGAAGAACACCAAATTGTCGTAATGGAATCATCTTCGATATGGGAGCGGATAAAATGATAACGAATGTCGATATGTTTGGAGCGGTTGGATACAGAATGCGAGTTGGCAATGTCAATGGAAGAGCGATTGTCAGATATAAGCGGAAATGGATGAGGAATTGGAAGTTGAATGAGAGATGTAAATACCCGAATCCAAAGAAGTTCTTTGAGAACATGCGTCAAACCCATGTACTCAGCTTCAGTCGACAAGAGCGCGATACTCTTCTGTTTTGAAGCGGACCATGCAACTAATCCCCCGAATAAAAAGATTCCGAAACCCGAAATTGATTTTCAATCTATGGAATTGCTTCCCCAATCAGCGTCAGATAAGGCCATCATGTCGGAGTCAATTCCAAGGGTTTTGATGAGATCGTTACGGTGTGCACCCCCATATTGCAGTGCCCATGATCAAGTCTTGGCCAGGTATTGGAGTGTTCCCTTCACCGCGATGAGATGTCGAGGTGAGGGTTTGGAATTAAATTGTGCGAGGAACATAACTGAGTATGCAATGTCTGGTCGTGTACACAGAGCTAGAAATAGTAGACATCCAACAAGAGCTTGGTAAATCTTGGTTAGAGATTCGGAATCAACATCATCATAAACGGAAGTTGTTGATTCAGATCCATTGAATTTGTAGCGGAGTGGTAGGTCGTGTGAGACGCATTCCAGTAGTCCATATTGCTCTAGTAATTCCGTCACGTAGTTCTCCTGGGACAGCCATAACAATCGTAGAGCGCGATCCCGATAGATTCGAATTCCTAGGAATGTGGAGGTTGGCCCTAAATCAATGACCTTGAATCGTAAGTTAATGCTTTTGATGAACCATGAGTAGAGTTCCGAAGAATTTGTCGAGACTAAGCCATCATCGACGTGAACAGGGATGAACATTACTAGCGGGTCACCGTTTTCTGGCATCGGAATAGATGAATCAGGAGGTATTGTCCATCATCCAATAAAAACAGCATTATCGCATTCGCAGCGGGTAAAGCCAAGATCTTCCAAAGCATTACACAAAGTCGAATACCATGCCGCCGATGCTTGATGAAGCCCATATAGTGCTCTTCGTAAGCGATATACCGCAGATGGTGAATTAGGTATAGGCCAACCGGGAATCTGTTTGACGTAGATCTCTTCCACCAAAGGTGCGTTCAGAAATGCCTGTTTAACGTCAAATGAAAAAAGTTCTAGATTCATTTTTGCTGTCCATGCCATCACTATTCGATATGATACCATTCGCGTAACAGGAGCGTGAACGTTACCATAGTCTTCAGGTCGTTGTGTAAAACCCTGCGCCACAAGTCTTGCCTTTTTCGTTCCATCGAGTTTGAGGTCATAGACCATCTTCAGCCCAATCGGAAACTTATCTCTCGGACATCTCTCTGTTGCCTCAAATACACCCATTTCGAACAAACCAGTAATTTCCTTGTCCTCTGCTGCAAGCCAGTCCGTAGCGTCAGGTCATAGTAGCATCTGTCGTCTTGTCGATGGTGGTTTTTTGAGATCAAAGGTCGTTGGTTTCGAGGTTGTTGTCGATTTGGTTGGAATAGGATTCAGAGGTTGAGGAATATTGGCAAGTGCTGCGAAGAAGATGTCCGTATCGTCGTCTAGGCATGAAAAGTTGTCTTCGGTTATGTGGCACGCTAATGAACATCCGGTAATATCATTTTTGACTTGGGTTGTATGATTCGGCTGTAATCCATTCTGGACTCGTCGTTCTGCGATCAATTCATCACATTTTCTAATTCCGTCCCTCCATTCTTTTCCTCGTTTAGTGAGTTTAATGGTACGCGAGATCCTTTAGGAGGAATCGGAGTTTGGATAGGCGTCATTCCGGTAGTTGAAGAATCAGATGTTGGTTTGGTAGATTTCAAGGGTTTTGGTCCATGTAAACAGCCGAATTGGGATTCGTTAAATACAACTTGGTCTGAAAAATGGTCTTTGCCTTGAGTATCCCGAACTCTCCAACCCTTTCGATTTTCTTCATATCTGATGAAAATTCCCTCTATCATCTTATCCCCAAATTTTAAACGGACGTCTTCAGAAACCTGAATCCAACATTGACACCCCCATACTCGTAAATGTGAAAGGTTCGGAGCTGTTTTATGGACTATTTCATATGGAGTTTTATTATTTGGGATTGTTTTTGTTGGAAGCCGGAAATGGATGTATAGCGCAGTACGGACTGCATCCTCCCAGAATTGTAAGGGTAATCCAGCATGTATTAACATCGTCATAGCGTCGTTTTCGATTATGCGGACCCATCGTTCGGCTTTACCATTTTGTTGATGAGAATATGCCGCGGTCTTCTGAACCGAAATTCCTTTCTCTTCAAAGTATGAAGTCGCTTCAGAGCCATGGAATTCTTTCGCTCCGTCAAGTCGAATGCTTTTAACTTTATGAGGTGCCATGATGTTCTCCCATGTCGAAATCGTTGTCTTTATGATCCGCAACGCTTGATTTTTCTTTGCAAAACAACCTCCCGCTAAAGCGCTCGTATAGTCATCGACGATGATGTTGAAGTGGGAACTATGGTGGTTCGACATTGTTCCGATAGGTCCACATGTGTCTGTATGGATGAGTTCTAATGGTGCTGAAGCTCGATTTCCATGATATGGATAAGCGAATCGGGGATGTTTTCCTTTCAAACATGAATCACATATACCGCGCATCTTGGTTCCATTCCATTTGTCAAGTCCTGTTGCGTTTTTGCCAGTAAGGAGTTCATTCGTCAAATCTACCCCCGGATGGCTGAAACGCTCGTGAAACAATGCACCGTTAGGTATTCGAGGGATAAACACCGGCATAGCAAGGTGAATAGGGTCTGCGGAGTCATTATCTGGTAATATGAATCTCCCTCGTAAAATGCAAAGTCGGTTTGTAACGTTAGCAATAAAGTATCGGTCTGCTTCCGGGTGAATCTTGACTATGTCAGGTAGAATGGTAAAGGTGAAACCGTGTTCAAGCATTGCGCCTACAGAGATTAATGATACAGGAGCATCCGGCGCATACAGGCAGTCGTGCATCTCCAGGATTAATGTATCATTCGTGCCCTCGATGCGAGTTTTGAAATAGCATGTTCCGGATGCTTGAGTCGAAAGTATTCCCGAATTAGCTGTCTGAACGGCGGTAGCTCCATCGACATCGTATGTATGGAAAAAACTTCAATCGTTGACGATATGATTGGTGCAGGCTGAATCCAAAAGGGTATGGTTTTTCTGAACCAGTGAGGAGTACGCAAAGGATTGAGCGTTCGTCGGGTATTCACTTGGTAAAGGAGAATTCGGAAATGTAGACAAAAGTGCAGCAAACGGTTTAAGTTGGCGCGCAGGGTAAGTGGAACGAACGGTTGTATTATTGGTTGGCAAAACAGTAGTTACATCAGGTACATTATCCACATTCTCAATCTTCGAAGTCGTTGCGGTAGCATGCGAATTAGAGGTCGTAACATAAGCAGTTGGTTTCGTATTTGGTTTGGATGAGGTGGGTGTGTCCCGAGGTTTCTGAGAGTCCAGTGGTTTATCATTCGTGCCTGGTACGGTCTTCTGAAAACAACGGTTGTACAATCCACCCCCAGATTCGGAAAGATCCAAGAGTTCTCGGTTACGTGTATTTTCCAAATGAATAGCGAATTTGTCAAAGAGTTCCCTGTTCGGTACTACAGCTGGTTCATCGAATTCCTCTTCGAGAACTTGTTTGAGGTAAACATAGCGAGGACCCGATGGTAGCTTCGAGATATACTTGGAGATAAGAGTATCCCAGGGTATGTCATAGCCATAATTTCTAAGAGTGGTAAGTGTCGAACTCCATTTTAGATTGAACTTCTCGATATCCATGCTATGGATTTGCGAAGTCATTAGTTCGTCCTGTATTCGAAGACACACCTTTCGGTCTGGTGCCGCTTGGTAAGCTGCTTTCAATCGAATGTATATCTGTCGAGCAGTTCATCGTTCTCCTCGATCATCAATCATAGGCGGAAGATGATTTCTTGCCTCATCGGAAAGTCGAGCGGTGAGAATAGAAGATGTCCAACCGTCATTCTTATTCTAATTCCTTTCTCGTAGGATTGGAAGATAGCACCGGTCGTAGTAAAGGTGTATTCCATTCCGTCCGTGGAGTACCCGGAGGTGGTTCATCACATATGTGTCCCAGTACGAAGCCATCAGCAACGGCTTGCCAAACTCCTTCGTTCCACTTGACCCAGGATTTGCGATCCTTGAGTGAGTCCGTATCCTTTATCGTTGCAAGAAACGTCGAGTGAATTGATGAATATTCAATCTTAACCCGAGGTGTAATTGAACGAGGTGGTTCGGAAGATAGTGGATACGGATAAGGATAAGGGTATGGTGGATTAGGGTAATACATGGGGTATGACTGTTCTGGTGGAGGTGGAATATGAACCGGAAACCATGGTGGAATTGTATGAGTGGTATTAGGTCGACTTTGAGGGATTCCATCGGACTCTCGAGGGAATTCCGTCATTACAGCAGGAGCACTATGATAATCGTTGTGGAAAGTCAAGGATGGGGAAGAAAGGCGGTCCAGATCAACAAGTTGGTGAGGTTGAGGTTGATGCATGATCCTCGATGGAGAGCGATTGATAACGTAAGGCAAACCCATTCGAGAAGCGATACGTCCAGGAGCGATTGAAGCTGGTGGAACCGAGACAGGTGATCGTACGTAATTGAAAAAAGGGAAAGGAGGAGGAACATCAGGAGTATAAGTTTGCGTAAGGTTATTAAAAGTATTAGGTGGTGCAGGAGGGAGAGGACGAGAAACATTAACTTGATTATGCAAATTATCCGGGAAGGTAGGTACACGACGATGCCAGTTTTCAGAAATGGATTGAGGAAGAGTCTGGATAGAAGGAAAAGAAGGAATCGTAGAGCTATGGTTTATATGAGAAAGGACAGGAGATGAAGGAAAAGTGATCAGATGTCCCGGCCCTGGACCAGTGGAAAGACGATCGCGAGTTGGAATGTGCATATATGCAGGCGAATGTTGGATTGGACGAAGAGGTGCAGAGACCGGCGTTTGATATGATGTCGACGGAGCGCAATCGCGATGGACAGGATCAGTGAGATCCATCGGAGATCCCGTTTCGTCGGTATACATCCACGGAGGCAAGTATTCGCGTATCAGTCGCGTTAAGCGAGAACGAACACGTCACTCTAAAAATTGAGCTGAAAATTGGTTCTATGTGTTCTACGTATAGATTCAAGACCTAAAGGAAAGAACCCATAACCTCTTAGAGGTCGAGTATCCTGTACGAAGAACGAAACGAGACAAAACCTCAGTGTGGAACCAATAAGGTAGTAACAACTGAGATTTGTACCTGTACGAAGAACGAAACGAGACAAAACTAAGTAGCTAGTGAGTATCGACGAGTATAGGTACAAAATAAAAAGGACTCACCCTCAGTGTGGAACCAATAAGGTAGTAACAACTGAGGGTGATGAACGTGTGAAAATGACTATAAGTAAGGTGAATCACGTGCATCCGGAATGAATCGGCAACAAAAGGGAAAGCATCTCCCAACAAGATCAAGGTCCGAGAGCTCATGGAGCAAGTAGGGAGCTTGAGGAGGCTTGGGGAAGGTTGGCTTGCCAAAATGATGGATGTTTGGGGAGCTTTAGTATTGGTCGAGGGAGGTCAAAGACTCACTCGGATTGCTTAAATGTGAAGTAAAAGTGTATATTGGATTGTGTAGATGGCTGTAGAAACAGGAGACAGAGATAGAGAGACTGAGAATAGAGAAACTAAGAGTAAAGGAAAATCCATATGGTTAGCAGGTTCAAAGGTACAGGGACTGGACCTATGTAAAATGGTGCATGTTCAAAATATACCAAGCTGGTGTTTGGGATGCTACAGGGGACTCTTTAAATAGGTATGGAGAAGTTGACAAGGGAGCATCAGGGAATCTGGTATGTGTAAGGTAAGCAATCAAGATTAGATACTAATGGAGGTACTGCAATGGGAAGGTCCTGGCCCAAAAGGAGTTAGGTACATGCATGCCTGTATCATGGAAGGTATGGTAAGTTATTGAGGTTAAGGTGAGGTGAGGGAGCTTATGGAGGAGGTTCAGGGAAGGTCCCGCAATGAAGGAGAGAGATGAGGGGTTCTCCGAGGTTGGGTAAGAGTAGGGTAGGTAGGTCAGGGCATGACAGCTCCCTGATACTTCTGGGGAGGTTACTGAGGAGGTGTGAGGGAGGATTACTGAGGAGGTTTAAGGGTTTGTGGAGGTCTTGGGACTCTGGCAGCCAGTCTAGAGAAGATTGGTGCCCAAGCTGAGAGTGGGCAAGGTATGACACTTACATTTGGGCAGAATTCTTGACTAAGCATTTACAATAACTGGTGCTCTCTGATTATTCAAGGTCTGTTTCTCTCATCCCAGTGCAAGCTGGTGATTTCCAGTCACAAAGTGGATCAGCGCTTTCCGATGTGAACCTGTTGGGACATTCAAATAGTATCTAAGGGCCAGAACTATAAAAACCATCTTTTTCTGTTTTCCGTCATACTCCTGTTGGTCTTGAAGAGTGTCTGCTGTTCTGGGACATGATATTACTGCCTTTTGTAGAGTCTTCTCCATGGAATTTCAATGATTAGATCATTCAGGTATGCAGTAGTGATATCCTCAAACTTTGAAATGTTCCATGTGTATGGAATTGGCAGGTTTTCAAGTGCTCTGCATGCCTCCAAAATTATAGATGTGTGTTCATTTTGAGCCAAAGAGTGAGCTTCCCTGAATGTTTTCCATGCAAGATGTTGATGTGGTAAATTGACCAGGTACTGCATGTTCTTGAAGAAAAGAATAATCCTTCTATAACGAATTGGCATCACTCCAGTTTCAGTGAACAGACTCTGCAGTGATGATTGCTTTTGTAAAGAAAGAACCCTTCATAAAAATAATGTTGTACTTCCTCTAATTGGTCTCTATGAGATGCAACCACATCCATGATAAACTTGGCACCACTTTTCAAATATGGGTCTACTCTTGCCCAGTACATAGTAATCATATCCTTTATTGGCATGAAGGACAGCACCTGCTACATTTCTTAGCCTTGTCTGCAAGTACCTGATAGTTCAATTTGTATATACTTTCTTGACCAGTCTAACAGTGATGTACCCCAATATATTTCAGTTTCTTCTTCTTTTACCAAGGTTTGTTATGTAGTATGAAAACAGTATCCACAACTTCCTTTCCAAATACTGCAATCATACATTTAGGTACAGAGACTTCAAAACCTGTGAAGGATGGATATGCTTCAACATCCTTAATGCCACTTACTGTACATGTATGCATTCAGGCATATCATGCTTGCCATAATATCAGATATAACACGGCATATACTCACTCCAGAAACAACAGTTCCTCCAAAACAGATGCAGTAAATAATACAGCCTGTTATCTTGGTAGTCCTGATCGCTTCCACTGTTTTGCCACTTCACTGAATAATGCCTTGAATATGTTCTTGTGCGCGCGAGAACCCCTCTCCAAGTCATATATTGAACAGTAATCTATAAGGCCAGTGCATTCAAGATTAATCCTTATACGTGTGATCGAGAAAGGTTTTATCCTAACTTGATGCACTCGATTACACGTATGTACATATTTGTATCCCACATTCTAGAGGCCATGCTGTATCCAGTACTTCACCCAAAGTTCAGCATCGTTGCGTCCAATAGGTGCCAGTTCTCTCATCCTCTTACTGATCCTTTGAATATTCTCTGTGCCAAAAATTGACCCCCCAAGTGCTTCTGACTCTCCTTCTCCGGTCCCCTTGACTTCACTGGAATTGGCCATTCCACGGATGAATTCCAGAATTTTGGCTGCAGGCTAATTTTTACAGAGATAATTTAACTTTGACCGATTGATAAGACAGACGGCAACAACTTACAATTTCTTTCAAAGTGATTTTCTCCGGTGTCACTCCGTTACCGTTACTTCCGGACTCTGCAGCTAAGGCTTTATCCGATAAAGCTTGCGTCCATTTCCGGAAGGGGACCAAAGGCAACGCGTCTAAAGGCAGGTGCTTCGCAAGAATGAGACATTCGCGCATTGCCTCCATGATAATTGTCCATGACACGCGTTGAGGGTGGACGAGATTTATAGCCACTGGAGGATCCTCCTTTGCGAATGCTACATCGAGGATACCTTCGGCGAGTGCATCGAGCGGAGCCCACGAAATATCCTGTAAGGCAGATACAAAAGGATAGCACACCTGGTTCAACGTGGGAAAGATACGTGACTCACCCCTTTTGCATCTGGAAGCACGCCCAAAGCGAGACTTGATTTGATGATCATAGGGAGCCAGTCGCTCATAGCCCAAGCGCCATTCGGTTTCCCGCCTGCAATTTGGCCAATTCGAAAAGATGATGCATGCAGGCCGCTCTTAGCTAGGATCTAAGTAAAAGAAGTAGATCAATAGAGTAGTTGAGTAGGAAATAGTAAGGAAGAAGAGGCGTACCCTCTCCGAAATATATTTGCTCTCCCCATACCCCCCTCCGACAGCATACTTAGGGTCCAAAATAACTTCTTCCGGATATGGACCCATCGATCTTGAATCCCACGATTGTGCAGAACCGATAGAAGAGGTGAACAGAAAACGCAAACTTGATGCGTGCCGAGAGGACCGAGCGAGATCTATAAGGTTTCGCATTCCACGAACCTGTGGTTCAAAAGAAAATAACGAGAGATTGAAATCTAACCTCCACGCATTGTGGATAATGTGTGTCAAGCTATTCCTAAGCTGTTCCTCAATCAGAAACAAGAAACGAAATAAATACTTCTCACTGATGTGCTTACCTTTTCATAGATTTCAGTTGATAGACCAAGCATCGGCTGAGAAGTATCTCCTTCAAGCAAGAGGAGCTTATCTGAAGAAAGAAGCCGTTCATCGAGTGCTTTATCCTGGAAACGCTCTCGTTGTCGCTGTTGTATTGAGACACGGGTCGAAGGTCTATTGAGCGAATAGACAAAAGAAACAGAGTCATTCAAGAGTAAATCCGCAAGAATCTGAGCGCCAAGATTGCCTGTCGAGCCTGTAAGGAGAACGACAGTCCGACCTGAGACGCTGGCCCCGTTCAAGTCACCATTCGAGTAAGAAGTGATCGGGTCCAGTCCTTGAGAATACGAAGTAATCATATCTTCGATTGCTTCTTCATGACTGCGGGAACTTTGACTACCAGAATCTTGAGCGCCGAGCTCAAAAAGATATTGAGTCAGGGTTGCGATGGTAGGATGGTTGTAGACGACGTTCTCTGAAACGAGACGTGAAGCAGCCTGCAAAGAAGAATCGCCAGAGCTTCGAAGTGCACTGATTATACGCAATCGAAGAACGGTTGCACAGAGACTTCAGATACCACGAAGAATTTAATGAGCCTTTCAATCGCGAATACCTATTCATGTGTCGCTCACCTATCAAAGCCATGATCGAATATATCGTCCTTTTCGTCTAATAACTTTTCGCAAAGATTTTCCACTTGTGAAGTGAGCCATTGCTTCAAAGCTGGAATCTCCCAACCTGAAGGAGGCTCAACCGAGGAATTACTAGTCACTGTGTCATATCTAGCGAGACCATACGAACCTTTTCAGTGAATTGCAGAGTCGAACTATATATAGGAGGACATACATTTGGTCAATCTCTTTTTCGTACTCGTTGTATGCTGCCTTTCGCATGACAGTGCCTTTTCCAGCTCGCGGCAGTGGCTTGGTCGACGAAGCAATGAGGATCATTTCCTTGTAGACTTTACTAAAAGCGGGGACTTGCTTGTTGGCTTCTTCAATAACAGGCCTATATATAGCGATAGATGATTATTCATCAAGATGAACTAGAGCTCAACAACTCGAACAATACCAACCAGATCTTGTTGCGGAAACTAGATACTTGAGTTGGATCGTTGACGTCGATCTGATTCTCAGGAGAAGGTTCAAGCAACAACCCAGGCTGGTCGCGTTGGCGACCAAACATTATTGCACCAATTATCCTGCGTAAGGAGATCACTTATGAGGAGAGAATGTGCATGATGACATGACAGTGAGCAGAAACTCACAAGGGACTCTTATTGATTACATCCTCGAATGGCGCTGGAACAACACCATTTAAAGTCAGTACTTCACGGAGAAAAAGAAAAAGATGGACCGCTTGATTTCTTACCTGGAACAGTTTTTTCTCCAGACGAGTGTATAATGACGTCGTCTAGTCTTCCGACGCTGATCAGGAGCGTAAAACTATCAGCAGACAGGCAAAGGGGGATCAATTGCGCTCGCCTCACATTGACCACAAACCCGGCTTTGACGAATGAGGAACCCAAAGATCAGACGTAGCATACCCAGAGACGTCTGGAATATTTTCTACGGATACACGATATGTGTCCGTGTTCTAGAAAGTTGCGGCGTTCGAGGACGAGGCATTGTTGCGTAATGAATAACTCACTAAGATCTGAAGTTCGAAAGTTCCGTCTCCTTGAGGAACCCATCGGATATAAGGACTGTCCGGGAATCTGTGCCATGACCAATCCTCATAACTATCTTCCATACTCCATTTGCTTGGGGACCCGCATTCGGTGAGTCCATAGATAGAGCGCACACGAACTCCGCATGAAATGAGATAATCACCTGTTGCATGGGATAAAGGTCCTCCTCCGGTGAGCTATCAAGAACCAGAAAGTCAGATAATGGTCCGAAGTTCTGTGGGTCACCGGACAAATTGATTACTTACAATAACCTTCATCGACCGCAGTACATCCATGCTCGAGGGAGATTGAGACCAGATTTGAAGCATGGCAGGTATAGCAATACAGGTACTGCATTGCGTTCGCCTGAAATGTTCGATGACGTTGTCAGGTGTGGGTGCTAGTGGTAAAGCCCCTTTCTCGATAACTAGGGGAGGATAAACCGCAACCGTAATCCCAACGTAGATTGGAATGATAAGCTGAATGAACAACCCCATAGCGTGGAACGAAGGTAGTGACATAGTTCCAACGCGTAGGTTATATTCACGGTATTGATTCCCAGATGCTGACAGTGCATATTAAGCTTACTGTGAGGTCTAAAATGTAATAGAAATCAAGCTCGCCTGAAGATGCCCAGCTCAAGATGATGCATTCATAAGTGATTGAGATTGGCTTAGGAAAACCAGTGCTTCCGGACGAGTGCAGAATGACAGCGGTATCATTTGGACCCAAATCCGATGAAGGAGGATAAGGCAAAAATGGATCCTGTGGTGTTTCTGCACCCAGCTTTGGAAAGAGCTGGTACAACCCTGGGATTTCCTCAAAAGTTACATTATAGGTGGTATCACTGGAGGTCGTTAACTCTGTCCTGACATTCCGCAGCAGCTCTTGCAAAGTGATTTGCGTACTGAGTACACGGTGGGCACCAGTTTTCTGTAATAGATTCACAATTGCCGCGGGCGTATTACGAGGAGAGATCAGGAGAGGCTTGGATGGTTACCGGTCAATGTTGGTATCAGAATTCAAACAGTAACAATTGCACCAGATGCTCACAATCAAACCTGCTTCCATCAAACCTGCTACTACCGCTGTATAGACGATGGTGTCTACCTGAGCTATGATTGCTACCACTTCACGATCTGGGCTGGAACGGTGTGGTGGTCGAATGATATGAGCGGCGCGATGACATGCTCGACCAAATTCAAGATGTTTGATCTCGGTGAGATTGGCCTTTCCATCCTCTGAGTACACGTATAGCGTTTGATCTGCATTATGCTCGTAGTGAAACTTCAACAGCTGAGGAAGAGTAGTGGAACGATCCAGAGTTGGGGATTTCATGGTGGAGGGAATACAATGAAAAAGTTGACAAAGAGCAACAGCTACATATATCCAGGTTAAATAAGTTCTCCAGTGAGACCCTGCCGGTCACATACCTACAGGTGCGCATTGTGATTACTGATAAACCATTGAACATGATGCTTGTTTTTCGGGCGAACTTTCGGCACATGAGTCCCCCGTAACTCCCGTCGGTCAACAAAAGACCAGAATGTTATTGATTTCGAGGAAAACATGAAATATTTGAATGCCTGGGATAGTGAGTGTGAATCTGATGTTGAATTTATCAGGGCACATGCACGGTCTTGATTTAAAAAGAATTAGATGACGAACCAGGTTCCTTCAAACTGGATCGTTTGCAATCCGCATCCCTCGGAAAGCCGCTCACCTCGACCTCAGAGGCCATAAACACGATGACGATGTACTGTCCGATATCCCTCTTACTGAGTTGGTTGATTCTAAACAGAATCCCACACATGAACGTGGAAGAGTGAGTGTATATTTGGTTAATCATCAGGTCGCAGTCTCAGGCTATGAACATTCGAACAGATCTTCTATGTAAAAAGGATGTTAGGAACTAGAGCGGGTCCACGAGTTTTGAGTGTTGGACAGGGACTGTTCCTAACGAATAAATTGAACGACCAATGCCAGTTACGGGGACTTTAAAAGTTATTTTATTACCAGTTTATCACGATGATATTTCTACGAATTTTTCTGTCGACAGGTTTCCATCCTTGAGCTCCTTCAGATCAGCTTTCAACTGAGCGAACAGCTTCACTTTGTCCGGTATCTTAAATCATTTGTTTTGGGTAATATATTGATCGAATAGATGAAGACCTATGAGGACACACCTGATAACCTTGTGTTTTGCCTGATGTACTCGGTACAGAGTAGAACAGAGTTTCCGGTACACCTTCTTCGGGATTGATGTAAGAATCTAAGAAGAGTAATCTGCCGAGATGAATTAGTCACCTTCAGAAGGGCCACTTGGTTCGGAGTGTATAATCTTGTAGGGTTGTAAACCTGGAGAGAAAGTTGGTCTCTCTGATTTAGGTCGTGCACGCATGACGTGGCCTAGCACAATTCTGCCGGTGCGGAGGCCAATGAAACATGCTATTCGAGGGCGGTACCGAGCTAGTTTGGCTAGAAAAGGAGCGATTCCTTTCTTGAATTCTGAATCTCTGAGTTCTGTGGCCTATTTTTTTTCTCATCAATGAGAGAGCCCTCACGATGAGCGCTGCGTACCTCCGCTGTTGGCCTCTCGACTATGTTGGTCTAACCAATTCAAATACGTCTGCATCATTTATCACTCAATGGAAAACATACTAATCCTAGCTGAAATCTCTCAGGAAGAGTGAAATCTTCGGTAGGAGGTATTCGTTCCAAAGTCAACCCTAAGGAGGTGAATCTGTGTCATCGAGGGGAACGCTGAACTTGAGGATGATACGTACCAGAAAGATGGAGACATTTCCAAAAGTGGTTCGATGGATGACCAAAATGGTGCCCTATCTCAGCAGAACGTTGACCCGGACTGGGAAAAATATAATTATCAAATTTTCCACCAACATGGGTTGTACCGAATTCTCACTTGATCCCACAGAAGATTACTATTCATAGATTGAGCTCATGATTGAGCATCGCACAATGTGAACTTACTATCTAATGATTCTGATATACAGTCATTGAGATGATTGAGATGGGAGTACACTTCAGGAGATGAATACCCCCTCGCTGGTTTTTTCCTCTTTGCTTTCTTGCTTGATGAGCCATCCTCTGGGGTGATCGATCGTTCCTGCTGTGTGCGTGATCGTTTACGAGGGGAGGTTGAAGATGACTTGGACGATGGATTATCATTTGTGGAAGAAATAGCTGAACTAGAAACAATCTGTACTGGAAATTGCTTGCCGCCAGATCCGTTGAAACTAAATCGTGATATAGTGGTTTGAAAGCGCCTGCGGGATTCTGTCACCGCATGGGATTCCTGTTCCAAAGATTTGCTCCCGTCAATTTGGCCATTGGAAACTGCTTCTTGAGTGGCAGGATCAGGGAAGGACATGAGTGAATGGTTCAAGACTAAGAGGGAATAAGCGCTGGCGAGCAGATCATGATGTGGCACCATTCATGATCACGAGATGCTCTATCGAAAACAATCATGCACTGCGGGGATGAGCCGATTTCCTCGAGGCGAAAATGTGGGTTTTATCTCGAGGTTATGTACAAAAATATGGCAGCAGATATTTTGAAGGAATTGAGCTGAGGTTATGGAAAGGAAAGGAAAGGAAAACCGACACGGTCCCATTGAGGAACAGCCGGGGCCCATGCTACACACACTGCGCTAGATGTGTGACATGGATGTACATAACCAACAATGCTGTGATCAGTGGGTTAGCACTGTCGCACAATCATCGGTTAAGCACACGACAGACTACAAGTACTGCGCACCGGAATTTGTGATGTGTATTTGAGACATTCATTAAGCATCAGTGTACAGGTGAGACTCTGGTATGTATGGTTCGCGCCCTGCAAAGACAGCAAGTACATCATAGACATATTTAGCAGTCAGAGTAAGAACACGTCGGTCAAATAGTACACGTTGTAAAAGGGCATAACTTGAGAGTTGGTGCTGCATCAGAACAATGTCCGGTGCTGTTCGGTCCATTTCCATCCAGTACTGTTCACGCAGGCATACCAGAGTGAGTTGTGCCTTACATACCATCAGTGCATGACATTCATCCTCAACAGCCCCTCTACAAAAACGGCAGAGTCTCCACTCCCGAGGAATTGGAGAGCGATACCGCTCCTCATACCGCAGGCGCTCGATGCTCAGTGCGTGGCTGGAAGTGATCAGTCGAGTGAAAGCGTGTTGATGTTTGGGAACTTTGATCACGTCCAAGTAGGCACGCAGAGTAATTATTGGGGAGGTGTGGAGTTGCTGACCATCCTCCCGGAATTCCAGTCGATTATGTAGAAGGTGAACACGCACAGATGCTTGGATGTCGCTGGTTAGAGATTGCTCGCAGGACTGCCTGATATCCTTCCGGAGCCGCGCAAGATTATCTGCATCAGTAAGCTCATCTACAGTGCAGTGGACAGGGATTGGCAGCTTTGACAGTGTAGATCGCAGATCATTCACCCATGTAGCATGACCAGATCGTGCCAGGTGGAGCGAGTGAGTGAATGCATCCCGGACCACACGGTGGTCAGGCTGAATCAGGAGGGACTGGAGATAGCCGAGTGCAAGGCCCAGACGCCGGTACCGTATGGGTTCAATCCCCAGCTCAGTGAAGAGAATGGCACGCATGGACCGCTTGCTAATTCCGAGCAGTCGCCGTAGGTATTGACATTGGGCCTGTTCAAGATCTCCAAGGAGGGAGAGGTCGATGTCCAAAACGATCTCGCAGCCAAATATGAGGTGGGGGTCAACCCGTGCCATATAGAGGATTATGCCTTCTCGTGGTGGGAGGCAACCAATTGCCAATTCCAGTGCAAATGTGGCGCGAGTGATATTTCGCGCTTTGGATGCTTTGATGTTATAGACTGTCTGCAGGATGTACCGATGTGTCGAGATGAACTGGAGACCAACATACTTGTAGGAGTCGACCAGTTCGATAGGTTTACTATCAATGAGAAAGACTGGTAGAGTCCGTGGTAAACATCCAAACAGCATCCACTTGGTTTTCTTGATACTGATAACCATGGAGTTTCGTCGGCACCACAAGAAGAATGCATCGAGTTTAACTTGAAGGCCCTCAGGGGACATGGACCAGATAGCAACATCGTCTGCCTGCTCCACATGTGAGACTGGTAGGCCGTTAAGGAGTACATCGTTGTTGTGTATAGGGATGTCAAGGTCAGAGAAATAGATGTTCCACAGCATTGGGGAGAGGGTGTCGCCTGTCAGGACTCCGATGAGGCTTCGGAAAGCTGATGATACCTGGTCCCCATGCCGCACCACGTAGGTCATACGAGCATACAGCATCCGAAGCCAGTCGAACAAAGGGCCAGACATACCTAAGCTGAAGAGTTTCCTCCATAGCGTTGGGATATCGGTAGATGGGAAGGCATTCTTCAAGTCAATAAATGCAACATATAGGCACTTTCCCTGTGCGCGCGCTTCTTCGATAGCACATCGCAGGATAAAGGAGTTATTGTGTGTACGGTACCCCTCCCGAAAACCATTCTGGGACCTTGGTAACACATCCATTTCCTCAGCCCACTCACGTACTCGGTGGTCAATGATTAGGGTTAGCATCTTCAGTAGACAAGACTCCAAGCCAATAATTCAGTAGCTGTCAGGCTCAGTCGCATTCAGGCCAACTTTTAGTATCCCCACCAGCACAGTTGTAAACCACTGCTGTGGCGCATCAATATCGAAGATGCATCGGTTGAACAGGGCAGCGAGAGTAGTATTGGGGATCTTTTCAATTTGTTGGTATGATATAGTATCAACGCCCCGTGCACTCTTTGTACTACGGTGCCTAAGTTTCTTCTTGCACTGGGCAACATCGCCTTCCAAAATAGGTCTCGAGAAGAACTGACCATTTGTATGATCCAAAGTGGTTCGCGGAATGGAATCAGAGAGTGCAGCATTCAGCTGCCGGATGTTGTTGTCAAAGTGTTGGGGGGGGTCAGGAAGGGGGTTCAGTCGTGCTTTAAACATGTCGTGAAGTTGGGAGGCAGTGACACGTACAGGCCGTTTCTTTGCATCAGTCCACTCCCTCACATAACCCCAGAAGGAATGAGCACTATTGCATGAAATCAACCTGGACATGTTTGCACGTTGGTGTTCACGCTCACGATCTCTACCCCTATGGGACTCCCTAGTGGGGGCATCATCCTCCTCTCGATCCGGGTCATGGGGGGCCCCAATTGACTTGGCGTTCACTGGCGCATGCTCGGGTAGGTTAGTGGACACTTTTCTTGTACCGGACCTTTCCACACCAGGATAACCCAGGGTGGGCTGTGACAGAGGATGATCTGCAGGTAATACCCAAGTAGAGGCTCCCGCATCCTTTGCTGCTTTTGAGGCTAACTCAAGAGCTTTACATAGATGACCATTCAGCTTGCCAGTTGCCTTGCAGAATTCAACAGGAGCAATGCGACTGCATAGGAGGGAGACAGCAAGCTTTATGACATCACTATGAGCACAATCCCAGGCATGCTCCGCGTTATCCGCAGCCCAGAAGCAGAAAGAGCGGATGAGATACTCCGAGGAAGTATAAAGGAGAAGACGTTTCTCTGGCCTCTGAGCAGCAGCCTGAAGAGCCAGTATAGTTGCACAGAGAATAGCGCGGTTTGCAGTGGGTTTAGGAGTTGCTGAGATACGATAACAGGCATTGTGGATGTTGTTCACACCCCAGTAGGAGGAGAGGGCAGCGTGAGCAAGAAGCAGCAAGGTACACTGTCAGTGTCCCATTATCTGCAAAGGTTGGGCCATATAAGTTGTCAATGGCCTGAGCAGTTGTCGGGATCACCGCCAATGCATCCTGGACCAGGGTATCGAGGCTCGTAGGAGGGAGGTGATGAGAGGCCAGGGGCTCACTGACTGGGTTCCCCAAAACAGGCTGTGTGACATGAGGGTGGTAGGGGATAGTTAACTCAAGTGCGGCGTGGTCTGAGAGCAGGGATTTTGAAATACTCATGGCACCAGGACGGAGATTGTCTACTGTGGATGCCAGCACATAGTCAATTACTGATGCACCCATTGGCTGAAACGATGTGAGTTGGCCCAGGGAAGAGCTTTCAAAGGAAGTTCCATTGAGTATATGGAGCCCATTGTCTGCGCCAAGTTGCAGAATCCAGTTACCTCTTGCATTCGAGACAGTATCCAGTGATGACCTGGGTGGACTGTCTGCGCAGCATACGTGGTTACCGGTGCGGCCATTTAAGTCAGCAAGTACAAAGACCGGCTTTGAGCTGGAACAGCATCGAGTTATAACACTCGCCATAGACTCCTTTGGGTCAATTTCTGACCAATCACCATATGGCGAGCCGGAGGGTAGCAGGTACCCACCGATAAGAAAGTAATCGGGGGTTTCCACCACCACAACATCCGGAGCAGAGAGATCAGGACGAGCATCAATATCCAGACTTGAGCAAAAGATAGCGGCAACACCACCTCCAGCACGTTTCAGCTGAAGTCGGTCAGGGCGTGGGGATGATATAATATCGTAGCCTTTGGGGAGAGGTAGTGAGTCCTCTTGACCCAGTCGGAGCCATGTTTCTTCCACCATAACAATATCGAACTTCTCAATATATTGCAGGAAGACGGGATCATGTAGCTTCAAGATAAGCCGGCCATGTATATTCCAACCAACTACTGTAATACTTTTAACGTAGTTAGCTTGGAATAGTCTTTATAAAGGATCAGAAAGACCGCTTACAACTGCGGGTAAGTGGTAGAAGAGGAAAAGGTAGTAGTACCGTCGTCAAGCTGTTCACAAGAGTCACTACATTTTAGGTGTGATAGTAAGGACAAATGGTATTCAATAACACATCGTTTGCCTCACCATCCCATGGGACCAGATCCCAGTCCGGAAATATCATCCGGAGGACCATAACCGGGGGCTCGTATGCTTTGTTGATTGCCAACACCACTATTCTTGGGCTGAAGGAACTCATAAGAGTGCGTAGACTGAGGAGAGGGACGCTGCATAAGTGAAACACGACAGCCTTGAAGGCCTCTTGGGCAGCGCTCGGTGACAATCCACACAAATTGGGAAGCGGAATCTGCTGCCTTGAAACGAACGACGACATGAGGCGGTAGACTTGGGTCGTTCATACGATATCCTGCGATCACAGTGGGAAAGGCAGTGTTTGTCGCATTAAGTATCTTCCTGACAAGGCTAGCAGTGCCTTCGTCAGACTTGACCCCCTCTACCAAGACGTCCGTGTATGCAGGATCGTGGCGAGCACGCTTAGCCGCAGGCTGGGCAAAGTCCACTGTAGCATGTTTAGGCATCGCTGAATAGGGGGATGTAAAGAGTGAAGCAGCAGGGATCAGATTGGAAGCAAGAGGAGGGAGGGGTTGCGGCGGCGGTGGCGGCGAGTGCAGCGTTGCTTGAGATAGGCGACCACATAACTCTGCAATTTCTTTCTCCAGTTCAGGAACACGATCCCGAATTTCCCCCATTTGTAACTGGAGTAGGTTCGTCGTATTGGAATGTTCACGATTGACCTCCATAATAGTGCGAACTGCCTCATGCATGTCCTTCCACTCGTCAAAGACTGCGAGAGTGGGAGGCATTGTTGGTGCTTGAGAGACTGGAACATCTGAGCACATCCCCGACTCATTCATGCGAGTATCGAAGGCTTCACGGAGGGAGGCTCAAACCGCTGCTAGGTCCTGCATGTTGTCAACAACAAGTCGACGTTCGCTTTCAGCACCCTGGCGCATGTGATGAATAAGAACAGCCAGACGAGCGACGTTGTCGTTGGTCCGATTTCGTGCTTGGGTGGCAGTTTCGGGTGGGGGCGGAGGAGTGAGATTGAGGGACTCAAAGGCCTCTTTTTCAGCAGGCTCGATAGCAGGTGATGAGCTAGAGCATGCCTCAGGGCGTGGTTCAGCAGGTTCCTTGCCTTTGGGTGATGCAGTAACTGTAGAGAACGTCCAACTGGACTGGCGTTGTAGGCTACGGACATTCGTAGTTGGAATTGGGATATCCAGTTGGCGTGTGGTAGTTGCAGTAGGTGCATTTTGGTGAGAAGATGTTACACTTGCCCCAGTATTTGGGGACGTGTTCTGAGCCTGAGACCGCGCCAATGGAGCAAGTGAAGTGAGAGGGGTTGGATGACCCGGAGAGGGCATGGAGGGGGAGGGAGATCCGGTGATACTTTGTGTAGACGGGAGGTCCATGGTGGGGGGTAACCGGATCGAGACAGAGGTCTGGTTATTAAAGTGTAAGAGGACGGTGCAAGGGCAGTGCAGGTGAAAATTTACATCATGAGCATTGGAAATTACTCTTGCCATGAGACATTTAGAAGCATCCGCTCGCAGTCCGACTATGACTCGGTCGCTATACTTCGGCTGAAGGCCCAAGCGACGACACAGAGATGGCCTCGTGGAAAAGTGTAGTGACAGTGAAGGAGTAGAGATGACAGTCAATGTTCAAACAACGGGACTCCTCTAAAATGGAACCGGACACGCCGCGCCATATCTCAGGCCGTACCCAGCTTTGAGGTGGGCAGTTCATTTTGAGTCATCCTTGGGTTGACAGTAATGGTGGGACTGTTGAGAGGAGGTAAGAGCGTCAAACGCGATGACCAGCTGACCAATACAGTGAGGTAAACATAGAACAAATTTAAAAGCTACTGGGGCATGCACACGTTGGTGCTTTGTAGAGGTATATTTCAAAGAGTATATGCCATTCGAGCTTGGCCCGGTAATGGTACTTCGTTCATTGTATACGCCACCCGAGGAAACTCGGTAGTGGTACTTTTCTACTACGTAGTGGAGTATAGTACTTCATTCTTTTTGTATACGTCACCCGAGGAAACTCGGTAGTGGTACTTTTCTAGCACCAGGAGAAGATCCTGGAAGTAGAAGGCATAATCTCTGGTGCGGGATACTTCCAGTTCACAACAACCCCTTCGCTATGAAGCTGGTCTATTTTTGACGAGAGCGAGGCATCAGCGCTATTTGCTGCATGCTTGGTTCTGGCACGGGGGAATCTATGACGGCAGATTTCGTTCAATATTCCATGCTCTTGAATTGATGCGCGTGATGCATCAAACGTCAGTTCTCCGGCACTTATTGGTTGGTCTCCGGCAATTATGCGTTGGTCTCTAGTAGGTTGTATGTTGGTCTCTAGATAAGTAGTACTGGCCATTACCCTCAATCCTTGATCAAGCTTAGAAAATGTATTAACAGGATTTAAATATCAGTCTCACAATCAAATTTCTGCCATTGCACGGCCAGCCGGCCGGCTCACAGGGCTTCCATATTTGCAGTTTCCACCCAAGTTCTTCGACTAATCTACTTGAGCATGTTCTACTCATAGAGTAGTGAGTGAGATAGGTACAAATTTACATTCACCACTGCAAAAACTGGTGCTACAATACATGGTAAGAGCATCGGGATCTTCCGAGAAATATTGCACACCGCCGTAAACTTTCTCGGCAATCAGCTCCGAATTTATAAGTCATTTCGCAAATTCTAAAACAACAGCCTGCAAACTAAACCGGCAGAGTACATTACATCTAGAGTGTAGAAATATCACTGAGAACAGCACCTAATTACTGATAAATTGTGACCAAATCATTAGAGGACTGACATTAGCCTGCAGAGGGTGATATCAAGAGTCGAACAATCCACGACGATGGCATCACATATCTGTAATGCGAAGCCGGAGACGGAAGGAAATTGATGGAGCAGAAGCACAACGCAGAGGTTTTGATGCTTACTGAAGCTGAAGACCAAGGAAATCTCACACGGTCAAGAATATTGAATGAAAACTAACTATGACGGCAGATTTCGTTCAATATTCCATACTCTTTATTGATCCGCATAGTGCCTTGGACTTCGAATTCAACTCATCATTTGCTCTATTTCAAACTGGCAGTTGTGGATTCTCCGAGATCTTTACATCTAGTCTCGACATCTTTGTGGACATCTTCAAAGATTCCTTTCTGTGCCTCAACTGTTGGGGTTTCGTTCCTTCTGATCTTCACTTCACCTCTCTATTTAGATGATCAACTAGTTCTTGATATGTTACCAATGGTCTCTCTCGATGTTAGCAACTCCTTCCCAATGTGTTGCCAACTGTATCCTCAATATCGGCTATTAGCTTGGAATCAGATTGGATATACCTTACAGGATTATTCCCGTCGATGTTATACCCAATAGTCATATATACTAAATGAATCTCATTTTTCTGCCCATAACTCCCAGCATCCTTCGATCATAAGCAATGGATGGCAATACTGGCAATGGCGGGGACGGTAACACGAACAGTGACCAACTCTACCGCCTACTACAGTCTTTCATGGCCACACCAAATGCTCAAGGGCTTGAGTTGACGGGTCAGAATCAACATCCTACGACACTTTTTCAGGTAGATCTGCCTCATATTTTCCCCTTCTATTACCTGACGCTATATGCAGTCCTTTTTGCGTTCGCAAGCATTAACACAGAATTTACCCAGTCAAGCTGGGCCATATCCAGCATTTCCCTCTGTTCAATCCTCGTCGCAGGCACCTACTACTTCATCACAGAATACACATTCTTCCTTACCTCCTAGTGCTTCCCTTTCAGCACCACAAGCCACATACATGTCCCCTTCATTTGATCCCATGCGGCAGTCCCAAGTACCGTTCCAGAATCAAGCACAGTTTCTCCCATCTTCGCAATTGGTGCCGAGACCTATTCCACCCCCTCCACCTTCTAATCAGCCTCCGTCACTATGCACTTCTTCAACTGCTCCATATCCATCACAGTGGCCCATACTTCAGACACCTTCCGTAGGTTCACACCAAGCTCTTTCTGCACCACCGCTTTCCTCTTCAAGTCAACACCAGACTTCGAACATTGAGGCACGACCTCTCTCTATCGTTGAACCTGAATGTGGTCAGACATTACCAACTTTACCTCCTCCAGCCCCTTCCGTGTGCAGGCCATATACTAGCATGCAAGCACATGGTGCAACTGATGGGTATGGTTGGGTTGTTGGTTCCCAGGGACATTCTCGTGTCACTACGGCTTCAGGCTTTCCAGGGCTGACAGTTATTCAGCGCACTAATCATACACGTCTTGACCATGCCAGCCAGTCCCTTCCCCAGAATTCTAAAAAAGAGAAAAGGCGTGGAAAGGCCATCCGGCCTCCTGGGCTTGGTCGTAGAGAACGAGTCCCAAGTATTGATGACTGTATCAATGTAGCTTCCGGAGGAGTAGAGGTTATGAGCATCGATGTTCTGGTTTATCTACCGCTGCCTCCAACAGGAGAAATCAATGTATGCATTTCTCCCCTCTTGATATTCTTTCTACTGAAACCTCGTCATCTGCTAGTTCTACCGTCTTCCAAGGCAACTTATCTTCTATGAAATTAACAAGGAAGCATACCGTATGGTGCTTAATGCGTTGGGCCTGTTTCACCAGTACCCGAATCTTCCAACTTCTACTACCATCTTCGATTTATTTTCCGATATCACAGTCAAGCTAAGGCAACAATACAGTCTCCCATCAGTTTCCTCGTCATTACCACTTGCTCCGCAAGAACTTCTACCTCTTCAACTCCTGGGTTTCAGCAATCATGGCCGGGCTAATGGATCATACAGTACTTCGAAACTCAGACCAATGCCCTACGAGAGATACACAACCATTCAAGATATTCTGACAAACAACTTTGGTACATATGTAATTCCGAAACTGGTTATTACTCGTGACAATCATTTCACTCTTCATGCTAGTGAGTGAGATCTCACTTCTCGAACTTCAATTGATGGTCTGACTTCAACATGACAGTTATTCGAAGTCACCCACTTGAGGCAAATGTGAGCCTTGCTCAAGTATACCTGGGGTCTGATAATACCATCCGTCCTCATCGATGTTTGTCAAAACGTCTATACAGTATGTTCCGCAATGACTCTGATGCCAACCTCAATGTACATGCTTTGGATGAGGAAGAGATTGAGGGGTCGTGTGAGCCAGATGACGATGACAATGATGAAGAAGCAAGTGTTCTAATTTCGAGCCAAGTCTATTTGCTAATTTTTATACTCAGGACTCGAGGGTTGTAGCTCAATCTTTGACAACAACATCAGTAGAAACAGATGACGGGGAGCCCCAACCATCATCGGGACTAGAGCTAAATAGTAACGTGTCTCAATCTACTTCTACGCTAGTACGCCAGGCCTTTAGTCCTTTCATCCTTTTTCTAACAGTATCCATTAGGTCTCAACATCCTCAATAGTAGGCCCGATGTTACCTAAGAAGCTATGGGAGGAGCCCTGGACTCAGCCTGCTCCCCTCAGTTTTATCCCCATATTTTTTGATGATGAACGTACTCCAACTATTTTCAAAATTGTGTCCGAGGTTCAACGACAAGGGTCAAACTGTCCCGGATTCCAAGTCAAGGGTACTGATGAACAAGAGCTTGCAGCAAAGTTCATTGCACAAATGAAGAATTCGGTACAGAGTGGAGATTGGAGCAAAATTTTATCTCCGACCCGTCACTTTGTCTGGTAAGCTTAATTTTTTAAAAAGATTCTCGAGATGGTCACTAAATTTGCCATGGTAGTGTAAATGATCAGGACGATTACATTTCTTCAGGCCCCGGTCTCGAACAGTCAACAATTGCTGAAGTTTTCCGCCAATTTTTCGAGGAACGTGAAAGTGAATTCTGTATGCCACTTTATGAGGGATACACAACACTTCAAGCTGCTGATGTACAGATATCATCCAACAAGCATGAAGAGCTGGTTTTATTTGGGGCAGTAACATCGTTGGCTCTTGTTTATGGTCATTACCCTGGTCACTTAAATCCTCTTCTCCTCATCTATCTACTCAATGATTGCAACACATCCTGTCTTCATCGAGATCTGGTCTCCTCATATTTGCCTTCTCTCAGTGAGACACTGGACCACTGGCTAAACATTGGACCTATGGATAGCATTGCGGACTTTACTTCTCACTTTGCCTCATATCACAACATCCAGGTGCGATGCTTATGGCTTTTATTTGCATTTGACTAACTTCTATGATCAGCCTGGAGTCTTAAATGGGCGGTCTGAAACTGGTCACCGGAAGCTTGCTTGGGAAATGTTGCACAATGCAGTCATTGGTCCCATAGACGTTGAAAATGCATATTTTACGGCTTTTATCAAAGGTTTCTTGCTTCCTTGCTCTACCGGTGTTGATTTAGTCGATGTGAGTATAAACCGTGCATTCAAACATTAAAAACTCAACGTTTCTGCTCAGATTGTGCGCAGCTTCTTTGGAGGTGCTGAAGAATTTGTCCGAACCGCAGAAATGTCTACAATACGTGGTTTCGATTCTCTCAATATTCGCATCGTTGTTAGTATTGGAAATCAATTGCTAGATGAGCTAGCCGATGCGTTTAGCAATGCTGGCCCTAACTTTGCGGGGAGGATCTTTCAAGATATTGTAAAAGATTTTCTTATAGGCATTGGAGCACCGTGCCCAGAACTATTTGCTGGCATCGTGGATAGGCTCAGCCCCGAGGTTAAGGCCAGCTTGACTGGACTGCAGTCTCCTACATTCCGAATGCGATTAATGTGTTGGGCAGCAACGGGTGCTACTAGGGTATTGCGTGACAGCAACCCAATGCAAGTGAGTATTCCGTTATAATAATCATAAATCCATACTCACCTCTGTCAAGATTATTCTTGTGGAAGATGACGATTCTTTATATCTTCCTCAAGACCTAAACAGTCCTGGCTTACGCGAAGCCTATCTCTCATCAGGATCTTGTTCCTTCCGGACATGTACAAGGTCGATGAGGATTCCTGCTTCGTATCTGATTAAGCTGCTGAAAGATACTTATGACCCTGATACGGAAGTCAAAGATGCTCAGATTGCGATTCACCATTGGCTCTTCATGCAGATGCTGGATTCCATTGGGACGTACAATATGCTTTGAAGTTCACTAGGAATTTTCTCTGTTTAACAATTACATTTCCCTTTGAACTTCATCTGATATCTGTCGAGCTTGTATCTTTCTCAAATTTTATTACACTAGCTATTGCCTGTCAATCTAATCTCATTCAACCACGCCGTCTTGACCATGACCGTCACCTCACAGCTTCCATACATGTCCTGGTAGTTTGCCTTGGCCCGTATACCTTGATCCAAATCTGCGGGGAATACAATACGGGGAAGAACTTCCACATGACAGTGGAAACTATGATGTGTGGTTTGACTATGCGCGATTGGAAGAGGGTGCTTTCAGGGATCTTCGAGGTGAGGGCGCCACAACGGAAGAAGAGGAAACTGCAATGGGACATGTCAGGGAAGTCTATGAGTGGGCTGTAGCACAGGTACCTCCTGGAGGAGATATATCTATCTGGGTTAGACTATGCTCTTTTCGAGGAGATCAAGCTTAAGGTACGCCCACGCTGATCTCGTTTCAATTCTACAACCAACTTGCTTAATAGGATTATGCTCGTGCTTGCCAAATCTATCAAACTGCAATAAGTCTCGTCCCTCATAAAATATTTACCTTTGCTGAACTCTGGATTATGTTCGCCAAGTTCGAGATAAGAAGACTGGATCTTCCCGCACTGGCAGCTTGGAAGATAATGGGCACGGCGATTGGCATGTGCCCTAAAGAGAAGTGGTTCAAAGGTTATATTGAACTTGAGACCGATGTGCACGTCTCTATCAATGTTTGGAAAAAGATTGACTTCTCTTCTTAGCTTCGGGAGTTTGACCGCATTAGGAAGCTCTATGAGAAGTACTTAGAGGTTTGTTTCTCTTCGTCCTTCGGTTTTCCCAATACTCAGATTGGTTCAGTTTGACCCCGCCAACTCTTCTGCATGGATCAGATATGCCGAAATCAAATCACAACTACGGCCATTGCTCACAATTGAATGTGTTCCAGATTGGGAACTTGTATTTGCTGACAATGAGCGAGAAAACAACCCGACTTCTTTCAAGTTCCTTCAAATGGCTCACGCCTGGAAAACTAATCAAAACAAGGGCGGGAATGACGCCAAACCAATCTCTTTCACTCCAGCATCTAACCGTAAGGATGATGATGCTACCAGTGACATGGCTAGTTCAGACGGAGAACATTGATCTATGCTATCATTAATGCTAATGTATTGTTAAATTCGGTATTGTTGTATTCAGTATCTGTTCTTATTATTGCACACCTGCTTTGCAAAAGTCCGGATTCATAGTCCTATTGGAATACAGATTAAGTTACAAGACTAGGTATGTACATATGATTGAAAACAGTTCACGACAAAGCAAAGATTATAATACAAATACTGCCCTCAAGAACAGTCCAAAGATCAATGCAGCACCGGGAGCTGGTACGCTGACCGAACATACTTGAGCGGATTGATCGCAAGGAATCGTTTAAATAGATTCCGTTCCTTCGAGTCGGCCGTCAGAGTCGAAATCCGCATTGAATGTCTGAGGGAGATATGACAGAGGGAAAATAGGTTCCTCCAGCCAATATTCCATCATGTTCTTGGAACCTACTATGTCAGAGGAATTTCTGAGTAACATCTCAGCTTCGTCTAGATCGAGAAATACCTAAGCAAAAACTCACGGTTCGCTGGCGGGCCTGATGAGCCCACTGCTGCACGAACAGCATACCAGAACAAACAGGCAACTAAAAAAGTGAGTTGGCAGTCAAAAACCGCGATGAATGCCTACCATATTTGGATCCGTAAGGCAAACCTTGAGTGTGGGGAAGCTCAGATAGTCGAGTTCGATAGTGTTCTTGGAGAGAATATTGGATTTGGTCCCGTTGATTGTAGCCAATGCTCAAAAATAAAGGGAGATCCGCATCAGCAAAGCATGCTCCGCGAGCTGCAGATGTGAATGGGGATTCTGTGCTGCGTCAGAAAACATAGGAAGATGCAGATGGTTGTGCCAAATGAAAGCGTACTTTTGGGTGGACCGAACGATCGAGAAACCTCGGTTATTGCGGGTAGGGAAAATGTGCAATGGATGTATTAAAATATGTGCTCAGGAAGAATAGATCCGAACGCACCGTTTCTGAGTCCTCTTGACATTCATCATCATCTCTTTCAGACGGAATATGCTCTCCTCCAATGCACTTGTGTGCTCCGATATGTGGTCAGTCTTTGCCAGAGCTTCATTTCGCGGTTCGCTTTCCGCTATGATATCAAGCGTTAACGGGTCGTTTTTGAAGCATGTAAATATTGCGTTACCAGTAAAGCCGTAGTCCCCCTGAAGCTCGCGTTCACCGTCCGAAAGTACTTTTGTTCTCCTTCCAAAGCCCGTTGAATCGTTTTGGCTTCAGCACGGCGAGCGAACTGGAACCGTCCCGGACGGTACGGGGTAACCATCTTCGTGTATGAAATAGCTAGGCCTGCACGTGTTTGATCTCCGGCGCCGATATCTAGCACCTGCGACTGGTTGGAAGGACAAAGGGCTCCAGCGTTTACAAGGGAGGAGAATGCAGGTCGAACGGTTCAGTTAGTTCTTAGGCGCTCAGCTTTGAGAGAGTTAATTTAGCGCCCGTCACGTGACACGTGACTGCGTCTCTTGTTGATCTATTTCAACATTACTCCGTACTTCTTATCCCGCCTCCACCATCTACTTCGAATTTCAACACCTAATATATTTTTCAACCACCATTTGATTCTTTGCGCAGCAAACCGAGGTGCACAAGGATCATTTCCGGGGCTCATGAGGATCAAATTGAAGCTACAAAATGGTCAGTATTTTATGCCTTATTCTTTTGATAAACATACGCGGATGCGAACGCGACACACTTGCCCCCGGCCCTTCTGAGTACTCGGCCTCGGGAACTCAGGGCTGGAGTCTCGAAATCGCGTTCGTTGACGCGTCTTTTATACTCCTCCACGCTGCGCACTTTCGGCTCTCAGAGGTCCGTTAAGGCCCCTCTTGAGTACTCATGCCCTGGGAACACGAGAAACGGGCTTGGCAAGGGACCTCTGAGCGTCGAGTGCCCAACCCCCTCCAATTCTTATTTCCAACGCACTAGCTAACTTCATGCCGGCTTCTGTAGGTACTGTCAAGTCCTTGGGAGCATCCTCGTACATCCTCCAGAAGAATTTTAGCTTCTCCATTGCTCTCTTCCATGCAGTGAGCTTTGAAGGCACCCTTGACCACCTCGACGACGCAACCGACAGGACCCCGACCTCTCCGTTGGAAATACCTCTCTCGTTCCCCTCCCTTCCAACGACTTCTTGCTCTTCACTACTCTCATCACCGCCCTCCTCCGCACCCTCATCGCCGCTGTCATCTCCACCCTCATCTTCGGAGATCCTTGGATCTACGCTGCCGGAGCCGCCCCTCCCATCGACCTTGCAGTCGCACTCTTTGCTGCCAGTCGGTAGCGCCCCAAGTCAATCAAATGGCGCAAAACGAAAGGCGAAGCGGTCGAAAGCTCACGGACATCGTAATCGGAAGAAGCAGCGGCAGGAACGTCCTCCCAAAACTGCAGACGAGATTGGTGCACACCCGACACCTGTTTCTCGATTCGTTCCCGACGCTACAGCCGTCCGAGCATCCTTTTCTTTGGCGAGTGATGCGCCCGTTGCCTCGACCTCATATGTCGGCCTCCATGATGATGGTGAGGAGGGTGAGAGGCGTACATGGTCGTTGAAGGAGCTAGTGGGTCCCAGATCGTTGCATCAATTCAGCTTAATCGAAGCAGTTCCTGGGTGAGCTTTCTGAGTCAGTTTGTATCTGGACCTGAATACTTATGTTGTATCAGCACCACTGTTCCTATTGCGGACGCAGAGCGTCGTGTTATTGCTCTTGTTGTGTATCCGGATGATGCCGGGATCCTGAAATGCGCAGAGGAAGCTGCAGAGCTCATTCGAGAGGAAGGTAAGAAGGCATCTTTCGCGAGCAAGCACGTCAATGGCCGGCGCGGTGACTTTGCGGCCCTCAACGCAGGTGTGGCTCATGGGGGAGGGCGGGTGGTATGTTACCTAGTCTCGAAGTGTTTCCTTGCTCACATGCTCGTGTAGAAACCGGCCAATATTGTTCATAACGAAGTCAATAGGAATGTTCTCAATAGGCTTGTCACGTCAGGTCCTTTCCAGCGGCTCTCTGGTTACGCCACTGGTTCGTCCCTCTACTGATGAAATCATATGTACCACTCATTTTTATAAGGAGTGTTCAAAACATGGGCACCGAAACTCTATGCCTACTGCAGTTCGCAATTTGACCGCCTCCTTTCAAGTGATAGCTCCCTCGTTCAACTTTTTGACAACAGCGCACTTGCATCCGCTGCTTTCAACTTCGGTCCGCGCACAGTGTGTTTGCCTCACATTGACTTTGGTAACCTGCCTTTTTTGTGGTGCTGGATATGGTCACTCGGTTGGTACAACTGGAAGAAGGGTGGACATCTCATTTTATGGGACCTGGAGATAGTTGTCGAGTTTCCACCGGGTTCTCTGGCTGCGATACCTTCAGGTGTTTGTAGGCATGGAAATACTCGTATTGGGAAAACTGAAACTCGATATTCCTTTACACAGTATACGTCGGGAGGTAATTTTCGCTGGGTGGATCATGGGTTTCAGTCAGAAGAAGCCTACAAGGCTTCCCTATCTGCTGCAGAGGCTCGAGAAGAGAAATTACGCAAAAAACACCGTTGGGAAATGGGTCTCGGTTTATTTTCTACACTGGATGAGCTTGGTTTGCATTAACATATGTAACTAGCTCATAACTCTTGATAGATTACCAGTTTGAATTAGTGCAGTGTGCTGTGTCTTGCTTTGATTACACCTAGTAAGGAAATTACTGGACAACAGATGGGTGACTGATAATACATATGTGGCTCCAAACCTTTCGCCCACACAACCATGCCACTCACATACTTCCAAGAACCATTTGAAGAATCATGGTTATGGACAGATGGTGGAATAGATGATAAAAGACAAGATCCTGAAGTAAGCATGTTTTCCTCATTACTTGGACAAGCTCTACATGAGTGATCCGTTCTAGCTTTCACGTCAACTACACAAGACTTTGCGCACAAAGTTTCTCTGGCACTTCGTGCCAACCTTCTTGACAGTCCAGGGAACCATATATGAGCAACCTTTCCTCATCTATGCTTCTGCTATATGGGCTTCTCACTGGCCAGAAGATGTCACTTATGGGGAAAAACCATTGCATAAACGGACCGCTCTCCTCAAACGAGTAATTTACCCGCCAGAGTTCAGCAGCGGCGATCTTGACATTGAAGACCTGGAATTACATGTGGGCGTGGATAGATATGAGGCCCTTGCAATGAAGAAAAACCGAGTTGCTCAAGTGACGTTACACAATTTCTTTTCTGCAAGTATTTTACATATGTGCATTTATATTTGGGTTAATTTAACCATTACAGGTCAATATTCAAAGCTATCAGCAAACTCTGCATGAATATGCACCTCAAGAAGTCGAAACAATGTGGTACCAAATGTTGAATGCACGTTGAACCTTATACTTTATCACATTGAACTAATTGCGTCAACAGTCAATCCATAGCTTCCTTTCAAAAGCGGTAAATGATTTGCATCCATACATTGCATCTTACGGCCTACCCGCTTCCGATTGGAAGAAGTCTTTAGATGATGCCATCTTACTTTGGGATCTTCACAACCATCTTCCAGCATCATTTTGTAGTGAATTTTCATGGCCTCGCTACCATTATCTATCTAGGGCTCCTCAGGATGGACGTCACCGATCACTCATCTGGGAATATCCTCTGGAAGGTTCTGCAGTGGGAATGGTGGCAGTTCCTCCACCTTGGTTGCCATTGTAGTCAATTTTGCATCAATATGTCTTGTTTAATTTCTACAATCTTCATATGTATATATAACTTGTTTACACAGTAGAGCTATCAGAATTTCGAGGTTAAAAACTTGTAATGAAATTGATTCCCATCTTGAACATTGCTTGCCATTTGCAGCATTTATTTGATGGAGAAAATAACTTCAAATCTGATATGATTGAAGGCACATTTGAGAAGATGAATGGCTGCTAACAAGTATATGGGGTATAGTAGCAAGATGGGGAAACCTATTGTATGTGACTTGGCAAATGAATGGGAGGAGTAGTAAATGATAGACAATTTGACTGAGATAAATGAGAGGAGCAGTTCAATGAGTGAGTAGAGTAGTTCAATAAGTGAGCAGAGCAATTCGATAAGTGAGCAGAGCAATTCGATAAGTGAGCAGAGCAATTCGATAAGTGAGCAGAGCAATTCGATAAGTGAGCAGAGTAGTTCGATAAGTGAGCAGAGCAGTTAGATGAAGGAGTAGGTCAAGTAGTTGACAAATGCCCAATCAATTAGAATCATTAAGAGGAATAAGCATGCTCCGAATCAAGGTCAGTTTACGTTGCATATCCTTCACCGAAATCTGTGCCGCAATTTGTTCTTTTTCAGACTTCAGGATGCTGTTCAAAGGCATTTTACCGTTGATAAAGTAGCCCGGTACATGGAAAAGATATTGAATTCCCTTCCAAACTTCATGAGGGCTTTGTTTATCGAGAATAATTTGACCTAGGACAAAACCGCAAGCAATAAGTTTAAGAGTATTAGACTGTTATTAAAGCTCACCAGTTGTATTTCTTGTATTTGTACTGATAGTTGGAACGTGTTCGGGATTCCAGATGAAATTCGGAGCAAGATACTCAACAGCCTCGAAAACTCGGGTGCTAGCCTTGAACGTAGCAATGTTCCAACCCAAACGATGTATCAAGACTGTTTCGAGGGTCTCAACCTTCCCATTTCCGTCACTATAGCGAATTTTGTAACGCTGTAAGTCAAGGCCACCAACATAACCAACGCTCTCTTTGGCAAAGTTCCGCGTACTGGCCCATTGGAAATAAGTCCGTGCTGTCTGAGCTCGCTCGGTACCAGGTGGTCGAAGATGGTACGTTGCTTCTAGTCGCTTATAGCCGTTGATTTCGCAGAATTCTTCAAAGTTGTGAGCACTGGTGGTAACCTCGGGACCTTTTGTTGCGACTGGAGTATCTTGCCGAGCATGGAGGTCTTCCGAGGATGGAGCTACATATCCATTGAGCAACGGCAAAGACATTGAAGTCACCACTTGAGCGGGATCGTTGAGCGAAGTCGACTGTGCTGGAGCTTAGAAAATCGTCATTAAAGATATCTGAGCCAACCGAATATGCAGACGTACTCAATGAGTTTGATTGGCGGGATGCACTCAGATAAGGATGAAAAAGATTGCGCTCATGATGGAGGTTTGGACGAACTGCACCAGAATCGGCAACTTTCCAGTATGTCAGTACCTTGCAATCATATTTAACTGGATGCTCACCCTGATTTCCAGAAGGGGCATTTGAGGAAAGGTCTTGCAGTGTGCTTCAATATTGACGTTACAAGAAATTTAAGAACGCTCACCAAAATTACCAGAATGAGCATGAAGTGCTTCGTTCATGCTATTTCCCATACTACTCAAAAAAGACTCTTGCGGGGCAAATAAAGTATCGAATGTGCTGGGGGATATATCTTGATGTACGTGTCATTATTCTTGCTGAACTGACAGAAAGTTATTGCTTACCACTCAAGGGGAGGTCAAACAGTGAGACGGGGGCTTGGTACTGATGATCTATGGGCGAAATGAGTTCATTTTTGAACAGATAACTATTCGCCCTACCCTGTCCAAAGGCCAAGATATCGGAACCTTCAACACGATTATCAGTACTGTTTCCGAGCAGGAATAGGGTTTGCCAGTCGAGTTCTGCTCTATGTCCACTCAAAAACTCTTGCGCTTCAACACCATGACCTGAACCGGATATGGTCATGATCAGCAGAGTATATCACTCAACGACGGTGCAGTAATATCACCTTGACCAGTTACCGCGATAGAACCCATGTCCTCTGAGCCGATGTTCATAGGAGTGACCATTGTAGAGCTGTGGTTATTATTCACTTGCTGCACTACCGGGGGCACAAGACAACCATAGTTCTCATATGATGGTCTAGGGACGTTCATTGCCGGGACAGTGATGAGGGGGAACAGAGAAAAGAGAATGAATGAACATAAGCGGGACTGCTACGCTGTATATCCACCGTACCCACCAATCCAAACAAGTATTTACAATTGTATAAAATTAGTCAGAGAAGCTCGATAGCTAAAAATGATCTTCAGATCTTATAGTTTAGCCTTTAGAGAGAAACGATCTGTTTCCTCATGCGCCCTGCATTTTCGCAAAAGACACACATACCATGGAATCATGTAGTAGAAGGAAAATAATTCCTTGACCTTTAACGATGCCTAGTATGGTTTATTGAGGATCGCGGGGAAGGCGGAACAATTATGCCGTACTACTACCAGTGACGATGTTCCTTCATTCAAACATCGATATCTACTATGATATTGTTCCGAACTCACATTTGGATTTTGGGACTTTTGTCTTTCATATCATTGACGGTTGCTCCAAATGCAACCAACCCTAGTATTTCTCCAAATTCAATAAACCTTTTAGATGCCTTTCGAGCTCATTATGCACAATTTGAAGCAATTGTTCGTCAAGTTCATGCCGAAGCAACAGATCCCTTTCTGCTGCAGCTCCTTGGAGAAGACTTGAATCAATTTTCTCAACTCGCACATGAGGTAAAAGCTCAATTTCTTTCTGTTCATCTCTAATGCAATATCTTCACAAGCATGTAGCAATATTTGAACACGAAGAAGCTCAAATTCTACAAAATAGTCTCCAGGTCATGATTTTGGATATTCGAGCATTGTATGAACAGCGCGTAGAATCGTCACACCTGGGAAGACCAGAGGTTGTATACACTGAATACACTGGACGCCCGGGACGCCCTCGAACAGTGATTAATCCAGATTTTCTTCGTTTTGCCTATCGACATCGTACTACATCGGGTCTCAGTCACTTTCTCGATGTCCCTCGCTCAACCCTCCGGCGACGTCTTTTAGAATCTGGAATTGCTTCCCCAGGCACTAATCCGTTTCCTGCCAATGGATATTCTATGGGAGGCAGTAATGAAGTTCGTATAAGTGATGAAGATGAGCTACTCAATGCCGAAATCCCACATCCAGCTCACCTACCAGATGATGTACAGGTAGAAGCAGCTGCTATACCATCATCATCTTCAAGTGGATACATCACCAATATTTCAGACGAGCAACTGGACTCTTTGTTGGGACGTTTACGCATTCATTTCCACCGAGCAGGCATTAGAATACTCGACGGAATGCTTCGTCGCCTAAATATTGCAGTTTCATATGAGCGCATTCGCCACTCCCTCATACGTATTGATCCTGTTCATCGGGTGTTTGAACGCATTCGAATTCGTCGTCGAGGATATTCTGTTCCAGGACCAAACTCCTTGTGGCACCATGATGGTCATCATCGTAAGTTTTTACCTCATTCTCCCAATATTCCAGGAGACCAGTCATTGGTGTAACTTAGGCCTTATCCGTTGGGGTATCATCATTCATGGTTTCATTGACGGATATTCACGACTCATAACGGGGCTACGAGCAAGTAATAATAATCGGGGTCAGACTGTTTTATCGCTCTTCTTATCAGCAGCAGAGAGATATCGGCTTCCTTCGCGTGTTCGTGGTGATCATGGGGTTGAGAACATATGGGTAGCTGCATTTATGGAGCATGCCCGCGGAGAAGGGCGCGGCTCGTATCTTTGGGGAAGGTATGCATTTATATTCAATGTTAAACAGAAAATGCTAAGATCCCTGTTTCCTCAGATCTGTTCACAACGTTCGTATAGAACGTTTATGGGTTGATGTTAGCCACTATTGCAGCCAAACCTGGCATGACCTATTTACTCTTCTGGAGATGCATCATGGACTTCAGGTTTCGAATTTGAACCACATATGGTTACTTCAACATCTTTTTCTCCCTATGATCAACGAACAACTTTCATTCTGGGCCGAATCCTGGAATAATCACCGGGTTTCGCAGCGTCTCGGTCCAGCGCGCAGCCCGGAGGACATGTTTGTATTTGATTCACTTGTCAATGGTGTTCGTGGTGATGAAATTGGCCAATTCACGATGACCGATGAAGAACTGGAAGTATTTGGAGTAGACTGGGAGGGCTTACAGGATGAGACATTACTACGAACACTCCGGACAAATTATGCTCATGAAGGGTCAGGCTCCTGGCTTGGCCGTAGAGGACCTCCTTCAGATCTCAATGAAGTGCCTGTAAATCCACCATTGGCTCTTCTTACTCCCGAACAAATCATCTCACTTAATTGGCAACTTCAACACCACGTTCGCCTACCCCGTGAACAGGAAGTAGTACAGCTTTGGATTGATGCCCTTGCGATTGTAAGGACCATGTATCCAGATGATTTATAGTATATGTCGACTCTTGTAATCATTTGAATTCAAGGCTTAACAATGAATGATATCTATATGTACTCTTAGTCTAGCTGCTATGTAGCTCATGTGTATTACAAGCGTCGAAACTAGGGTTTTCCCGCTCTTCGGCAAAGCATCAGTAGTTCAGAGGCTATCGGTCAGTCCAAGCATGTCATGGGTAAGCAATTTAGAGGGCATCGGCCACTGATTAGGAAGCAGTCGGTCAGTTATCAGACACCTTGGCCAGACTGCCTTGAAGGTAGGAGTTCGGTTTTTTGAGGGCGGAGTGCCAGCTTGTGAAGGCAAATCGCAACCAGTACACCGATGAAGCCATCTAAAATGTTGAGAATGATCCTGAATTGAAACATACAGTACTGGAGGTTGCAAAACCGAGACACATGTAGCAAATTAGCAGCCCGGATACTATCAATTTCTGCAGATCAACGACAGAGACCTTTATTATTCAAGTGGACAGAATTGAAAGGCACAGACATTGACAGAATTCCAGGCACGGAACTGAGGAAATGGCCGGAGACGCATAATATTGCACAAAAACTGGTTTTATACTAAACACTCACACGAAGGAAGTTGAGAAGACACACACCACAACCTCCGCAAGAAGAGCGAAGAGACTTGGATTAGGCACCACGAGTTCCCCGATCAGGAGTGCAACGAGGATTGCAACTGGATACAGGACGCCAGATTCCAAACTACAAAAAGCCATAAACATTTTAGCAGAGCTCATTTATCATTGAAGAACTTGCATGATCGCGACAATTTTCATGTATTTATTTTGAGAGCCTTTTCGTCCATAGGAAGCACTGATCTGTCGACTGATCCACCATATCCTCCCAGCTGAACCGCGACCCAAGAGGAACTATCAGCATGACGAAAATCCGATTATCTTCAACGTACCAATAAGACCGGTAATGAGCGTGTTGGTCACCAAATTGACGATCATGAACGCCCGAGTCATGATAGTCGCGTTTTCCGTCCAAAAAATATCGGACGAGGACATTATTTGATCTTCCGGTCCATCGACGACCAGAATGATCTTCAGTCGGATGGAAGCGTCCAGGACAGCCAAAACTTATCAAAGACAATCCGGTATGGAAACTCAGCCGAGACTAATATTGCATTTTTTGCATTGATACTCACCGTTGTTCAGAACCGCGATGATCAGAGGCGCAATGATGACGCGCTTGCGGAAGCCCCACACTGCGTAAAGACGGTAGAGCTAAGTGCATAGAGCTGACTGAGATATCGCTTAGAAGGTAGCTTTCTACTATAAAAACTCACCAGAACGGCATCGGCAGCAACGCTGAAGCAGAATGATATGTGAGTACATTAGGTACAATAATTAAATGAAAGAGGATTTGACGAACTTCGCGAAAGAATACATCATTAGAACCAGCTCCCTACTCCCAAAAAGTATCATAACATGCAAATTGGAGTGAAAAACAGTCCGTACTCACTCTAATATATTCAAAAACAGAGCCTTGCTCTTGCCTTGTGCGGCGGTGACCACGGTCCCATCAAAATCTTCAAAAGTGAGGATAATAGCGCCTGCAGAACCGATGATATCCAGTACGAGTGCTGTGGTAGCAAAGATGAATAATGCGACGAGGGCCGCAATAGAAAATTTGTGGCTCCATCCTCCTCGATTTCGACAGAGGTGATATAGAGCGGTGGGGAATAACGCGAGATAGAAACCTATTAAAGGCCATATGAACCAGGTTCAATCTTTGTACAGCCGTACGCGCTCACCATAGAGCATGACTCCGATCTAGTGTACATAGTAAGACAGGCGTTAAGAACAGAAACTACTATCATGATTGACGCACAGAAATGACAATGAAAGGATTGATAACGAAGGCATACTTGAATGCCATAACTAACCAGTATCAGGAGAAATAAGTCGAAGAACAGAAGAAGAGTTGATGGAAGAAGCAAAAAGGCTCAAATGGGAGTGCTCGGGAACAGGGCAGGAGAGGACAAAAGTTGAAGATCTATGTATGATTTTCCATTGGAGCACTGCGGCCGTATGAAACCCATGTCGTAGTCTTTGTGCGACTCTTCAAACGCTAAATATGACCAGAACAAGATCATAGAAATCGACATGTGGATCACTGAAATCAATCAGTGGCATACAATTTATGCGATGTAGTGAACACAAACCACAGCCAAAAGGCGGTTACAACTTGGCATATCATGATCTACTGGATCAGAGTAAGAACAAATTTGGATCAGGGACTAGGAATGGTTCAATGAAGTGGTGATGCGTGGAGTTGCAATCAGAGGGACTGGTTTTACTCTATGATGATCCCGCTAATTGCTAACGCCAACAGAACATGTAGTACTTGTAGCTAAGGTGATATGATGAGAGCCCTAAGTGTGTCTGCCAAACGAATTGTCTTCACTCATCGTGCGTTCTGGCCCCAGCATTGTAGCGAGATCTAAGTCATTCAAGTTGCCGCTGCATTGTATTTTAGAGGGTTGCGTTTGAAGGAATACGAGAGATTTTCAAGAGCAAGAAAGCGTTCAAGTTGACGAAGCGGGGGGCCAACATCGTGTTGTACATTATCCTCTAATATTGAGCCCATACTCGATGTACAAAACGTCAAATATAAGAACCGCTGCAACCTTTGAAACGACATTCTCAACTTCTGCACGGCGTTCTAATCCTGGAAAATGCCAGACGCAAGTTTCTGTGCAACGCTATTGGAGGCGTAAACCTGGAAGTATGTGAAGAAAAACGATGAGTACAGCGGTTGAAAACAAAATCCAGTAGTTGCGGGGCTCACCCATTCTAGGACTACGAAAGCCTGACAGACATGCTATTGAAGCTTTCTTCAATTTCAGCTCCTTTTTTTAACGGGCCTGGGTATTCCTTGTCTCCATTTTTTCCATGAAGTATGAGTATGAAGGCTGCAGATAAAGCCTCCTTGACCAGCGCACAGTTCGCACCCTTGGTGGATAATAGGGAATTTGAGCCAGTACCTTTCATGGTTCCCAATTTAAGACCAGCACAGTACATATCTTGGTAGGCAACTATTTCGTATTCTGCTCTGGGCGCCCTTTTGTACACCTCGCGGTTATGAATCGCTACAGCACCGACAAGACTTTCGATGGTGAGGAGGATAGAGACGAAGAGGATGGTAGGCGTGAGGCGCATTTTTGTGGTACGAAGTAGTCGAGGTTTTCTGTCGTGAATAATCGTCACTGAGGCCGGCTCAGTAAAGATTGGCAATAAAGGATGAGGGTGTCGAAGACCTGGCTCGATGGGAGATAACTTGACCTAGGACCAGTATTTATATATTTTGGGGCCACCTCAGGATTCAAGCCTGTTGGTTTCCCAAATCGATATCACGCCTATTTGGTTAATCAAAGTGTATTGTTACATAATAACCTCGCGCTGGGGAGGCAGGGGGGCTGCAGGGGGGCTGCAGGGGGATGTCGGTTTGGATCGTCAAATGGTCCGGAAGGGCTGGGGATGGTTGGGAATTGACTGGGAAGGGCTGGAAGCCTCGCGGAGCAAAGGGAAGCAATTTGACAGGAAAAATATAATGAATTTGGAAGATGTCGATGAGCCCTGATGTGAGGTATGTAGCACGGTACAGCCTGATACTTAGCTGGTACAGCCGAATGATACAACCAGGAACATTGCTTACCTACTGTGAAAGACTGTGAACCAGCTGTGAAGTCCTCATTACTTCATTCTACTTCATCCTGCTTCACCTTTGAAGCGATTCAACTCTGCTCGCAAAGTTCGAGCCCTGAGTATAACCTAGAGTATGACCTGAGGGCATCAGTCTCTGAACCTCCCTACAGAACTAATAGGCTCTCACTAGTTACTTCAGGTTCGTCGTTCGATGTTCTTTGGGTTTCTTCAGACTTCTGGGGCGAAGTTTCTGTACAGGGCTGGAACGGACCTGACGTTTCAAGTTGTGCGTCGGGGTTCAAGTTACGCGTCGGGACGGGTAGGAATGAGGAACGTGAGAGTCGACATGTCATTGTCAATACGAGCATAGCAGATATGTATCATGTAGTATCATGCTTGTACGTCCCCTCAGCTCTAACCTCCCTCTCAGGCTTACATACTGAACCCTGCTGGAGTTACAAAGACTATGTGTTCCAGGGTATTGCTGCAATATGCATGTAGTGAGACGCAGGTGAGACGGACCGAACTGCGTATCCCGATAACGGGTCGAAAATTGGGGTGGGTCTGACTTGGCAGATTAGGGATATGTTGGACAGTATGTAGTACTGCAACCAGGGTCCAGTCATTTCCTGTCTCACTTATGTAGGTGGTCGATAATTCGGCAGTTTCCATCTCCTAATAAGTGGAGTTTTCGTTTTTTCGTTTTTAATCCTTGAGTGGTGATCGACTGGAGGCTCCGGATAATCACTATATACAGGACGGGAGAAGAGGCAACAGAAGGTGGGTAAGACCGCCCAATTATGGGACCCGCGGGTTATCGCGCTTTTTTGTACCAGAAGCAGTACTTGGGGATCTTGACATAAAGGCCATGTCAATAGGATCGTAAGAAAGTATGAATATAGACATACCAGTGGTACCGGAGATGTAATTTCTCTGCGTCTTTCTATCCACCACAACCAGCACTACCTTTCCTGTCACCTGTAGATGGCGTGTCAAGTACGAGAATCGATGACTCCTTGACGAACTATAACAAATACTTTGTAAAAATCGAGAAAGGATGTATATTCAGTGGTCACTGTGGTGTGTCGGACGGGCGATAGTAGTAAAGTACATAGGATATAGAGTATACTATCTTTTCGAATTTGCAGCCTGAGTATTCGCCTGCGCTAGTCTGTCCTTCTGCGCGTCCGCAATGACCCGTCTTTGATTAAAATATTCAATCTATAGGGCCACATAAACCGTTTTCAGTTAGCACAGAGGAAGATATCAAATAATACCTTAACTCACCCAACTTTTGGCGCAATTCTGCTCATAGGCTTTATCCTCCGACGCACATGCACCGTCTTTTTTCTCGTCTCCGGGTTTCAACACTCCAACGCGGTCGAGGCAAGCGAAATACTTGTCTCTCGCTTCCCAGCATTTTGAACGGTCTTCTCGTGTGGATGGACTAGTGTCCTTTTTTGAAGAAGTAAATGGCCACATAGTGTAGAAAGCAGGTATTGTTGGCAGAAAGAGTTCTGATGAACTTGGAGGAGAAACGTTCGGGGCTGGACCGGGCTCATTCGGGAGAAGATGCCGAGGCCGATACTTCCGCTCATAACTTTTTGGGCGATATATCTAAGTGTAATTCACTGCAACATCCAGAACCATTACAGATAGTGACCTTGCAGCCTTCCTCTCAAAGCCTCACTCATGATTTCCTTTGACTCCCAATTGCCATATTGATTATTGAGGATATCTACGAACCTTGCGGTCGACCCAATCCTAAAAAAGCATCAGCCGATGTCAGTTATATCATACTTCATTATAGCTTTCTGATCTTAATGCTTGGTTAGCGGCCTTTAAAGTCTACCCTGTTGGAAAGGAGCTACCAGAAGAGCTACAACTTGACCATATGCATCTGGGGGACAAAAACTATGACGACCTCCCAAGCTGTTCTACGGTTGTGGAGTGAACGTTCAGGACTTCCTTGACTATCACCAGAGGCATAATCTTCTACGGCCACCTCCAATGCATAGTCGACCTACTCTATGGAAGTACATGACAGATTAAGTCTTGGAAGACTTGCGAAAGCACTGTGAATTTGATTTATTCAAACTTGTGTTGGCCATGTCAGCGAAATATTAATACACACTTGCTCATCTATGATTCCTACCGCATAGATCGGACAAAGATGAGATAGTAACGAACAGGAAATATACCAGACACATCGAGGAACAGAATGGACCTCATTGGTACTGTACATTCTTCGAGTACATATCATCACTAGATGGACATTATATCGTGCACTCTTCCTAGACTCTTCCATATCGTGACTACGACATTGCCTCCGAAAGTTAGTGCGACGCGTGTCCTCATCTCCTCTGATTCATGCTTGTTACACTGTCCTTGTATCCTTTCCTTTGGTTTCAAGATTATGCTCCAAGCCGTTCCCTGGTATTAATGTCATGAGAACTAGCAATTGTTCGAAATCCAAGTCAGAAGACACCATTCTCTCAAGCTCAAGCTTCTTATATGTCGTACGACTGATAACAACGTCGTGGAATCGTTAACAATGGCAGCCCATGCTCTCCTCAACACATTCAGAGCCAACAAACCTGCTTTCGGGACTTGGTTAACAACCGGAGGCTTTGTTCACGCGCGTTCGCTCGCCAGAGCTCTTATTGGCACTCCCCAACAACAGTCATGGATCATGCTCGATTGCGAGCATGGTTTACTCCCACTGAACCCTGCTGGAGCTACAGAGGTCATTGCCGCGATACACGGGGTGAGAGACGGACCGAGTGCGCTGGTTCGTATCCCTGCGACAGGCCACGGAGTTGGGAATGGTTCCGAGGGTGTTAATTGGCAAATTAAATATGCGTTGGATGCTGGCGCACGAGGTGAGCTATAGGTTTAGTTTGAAATGTTATTGAAATATCATGCTTTAGGTGTGTTGGTCCCGATGGTGCGTTGTTTGACTATCGTGGATGGAAAATAACGTAGAACTATATGTATATACGATCCGCCCAGGTATCAACCCCAGCTCAAGCCCACGAAGTCGTTCTCTCCAGCCGTTTCCCGCCTGTAGGTCGACGAGGCTTCGGCAGTCCCTACACACAGGAAAATTGGGACATTCAGACTGCAGGAGAATATCTCAATGAAGCGAACGAAAGTGTCGTAGTGTTGGTTCAGATCGAAACCCGTGAAGGCGTACAGAATGTTCAAGCCATAGCAGAGGTCGATGGAATTGGTGGGTAGCTATATCATCTTGTCCATTGTCACGTCTTCCTCAGTTGACCCGACTACAATTTCTGAACGATTTATTTGACAGATGGTCTGTTCATCGGACCATACGATCTATCTATATCGTTGGGATACCCTCCACCTTCCCCAGATCCTCATCCACAAGTGGAACAAGTAATCCAGGATATCTTGACAGTTGCTCACAAAGCTGGGAAGAAATGGTGTGTTTTTTAAATGTATCTGGTCATGAGGATCCTCGACTCTTTGATTCCTATTTCTGACATTCACTCCGTTGCCAAACTTAGCGCAATGTTTTGTACCTCGGGAACTCAGGCTGCACGGCGTGCCGCAGAGGGATTCGATATGGTGTGTTTTTAAATGCATCGATTGCCAAAACTAGTGGTGATTTCATGTATCCAATACCGGATACTTTCGTCTTCAGATCAACGTCACTTCAGATGTTGGAGCGATGCAATCCGGGCTTGCTGCTGAATTCGAGGCAGCTGCATCTGCTTGATGGGTCGAACGAGGCAATACGATGACACATCAATTTCTTGATATTTCCTGAACGAATCGTTCTCGCAAACGATGTAAGTAAGAATTTCTTTGTATTTGTATAGTACACTATTTTTGTGATCAACTTGTACATTTATATTTCTTTTGATGTTATGAATGGATTCATTCCATGGCCAATTTCCGCCTAACGTCCGCGGAAACCTACCACCCGCGTTTCTCAAAGTCTGCCAATATGTCCCTCGTAGTTTCCTCTATGGTGTGATACACCAGCTCCGGGCCAAGTATCTTTGAAGCCTTGCTTGGGTCGTAAACGATCTTCGGCACGAAATCTTTCCCTGCACCTGGCTTTCCTTTCGGCAAATCAGTGTGCGAAGGGATAGGAGACGGCGAGAGTGCGTTCGCTGCGTCGACTGTGGGTGTATGATTAGTTGTCAGACCAAAATCATCCCCGACAGCTGAAGGAAACATCGGAACAGGTAAACAGACGTACTGAAATCCTGATACACAAATTCTCCTTTACTTATCAATAACCTCTGGCCACCTGCCTCATTCTTCTGCAAGGCTAATACATGTGCGAGAGCGATATCTCGGACGTCAACCCATCCACCTCCGATGGTAGTGATGACCTCCAATGTCTTGCCGCCCATATCCGGACGGACTACAGAGTTGTACCAGTCGCCGGCGGAGGTTCCTAGTGCGGAGGGTGAGGAGACGTCGTGGATGACTGGACCGAAGACCTGTGAACAGAGAGTGTGTGAGACTGTGAGTGGAGGTATATGGGACCGAAATGGCAAAAAAAAACAGGAGATGAATGATGAACGGAAACACGTACATATGGTGGATTCAAAACGACAAGGTCCCAAGATCGGTTTGTGTTGCTGGCTTCGTAGAATTCCCAGGCAGCTAGAACAAGAAGTTCATGAATATGGTATGGGGGTAATATCGTCCGGATATTCGTACTACATACCTTTCTCAGCCAACGTCTTACTAGCCCTATACTTGGCTGCTTGACTCGCATTCTTCCCTTGCTTTTTGACTTCTTCTATCGCCTGCTCGTTCCAATCAAGCTCCGAAAAGACCTTTGGCTCAGGAAGGGTGGCAATGATGGCAGCGGTAGAAGAAGTCACGATGATACGCCGGATGGAGGATTCGTTAAGCGCACTCTTGAGGATGCTGCGGGTTCCGTTCACGGCAGGTCCGATAAGTTCTGTGAGAATATGGTGGGTGAAAATTTTAGTGATGTGCTATCCAGAACAGCTGCAATGATGATGTAGCCATACCCTGTGGATCATCAGCCTTGAAATGGAACGGCGACGCAGTATGTTCGATAGCGTCAACGCCTTTGACAGCTTCGTCGAAGGCCCCTTCCTGATGTTTGTGAGTGATTTGAATAGATAAGCTGCACGAGCTGTTTGAAGTATCCTAAGCACCTTAGTAATATCCTCGACGACAACGATCTCGAACTTGTCCTTGTAATCAGCAAATATTTTCTTTAAGGGCTCGCCTTTCTCTTCAGATCGGACGGTCCCTCGAACAGCGTACCCTTTTTCCAGCAACGTACGGACGACCCAGGCTGCGATGAATCCATTCGCACCAGTTACTAGCACCTTGCTTCCAGCAGGAACGATTCCGGGCATTTTATGATCTGCGAAGTAATCTGTTTGCAGTTGAGGTTCTTGAAGTTTTCAAGTGTAAAGTTTGGATAGATAAGTTTGGAGCCTTTTATTTATGTTCTGCGGAACGAGAAACAGGGCAACCGGCACCGACTTGAAGCAGTCCTGAGTCAAGGACTGGTAAGCTTGGTATATTGATAAGCAGGTAGTGAGAGAAACGAAGAAAGGAATCCGATTTAGATCCGATCGAAATTCGCCCACTTCGGCGAGTCCGGCAGATGCGGATGTGATAGTCACGTCCACGTGATACATTAGAATAGTCACAGAGGCATAACTTCCGGATCCATGTAACGCTTCTTCTTCAAGGTCAGCGCAAAACCCAGGGGGAGACACATGCTGAAATTCGAGAGATCCCAAAAACCGTTGGGGTTTGTTTGGCATTGCCTTCTAGTGCCGTACAGCCGCTTAGCCGAACAATGCCGGATCCTATTATGGTGCTTGATTCACTATTGCGAATTTGTGCAGAATGTCTGATACTCTCATTGGAGTGCCACAGTTATTGCAGTAAATTGCAGGTTTCCTATTTCAAATATGTAAATGAACTTTGGACGAAATGATCTCCGAGCTCTATATCTGGAGGGGGGCATAGTTGCAAAAACAGAAAGATACAGAGCATCAAGAGTAAGAGCAGATGGAAGCCACGAAGCATCATCGCATATCTATGCTATACATGCATCAAGGCCGTATTGAAATCGGATGCAGTGAGAACCTGGTGAGGACACGATAGATAACTAGCATGCTACGGCATGTCTCGGCTGTGGGGCTGTGCGGCACGAGAAGGTAATGCCAAACAAACCCCAACGGTTTTTGGGATCTCTCGAATTTCAGCATGTGTCTCCCCCTGGCAAAACCCCTTTCTTTAGATTTCTCTATCCGCCCTGCACCTCGAGCTCCCCGCTTTGGGGAATTGATGAGAGATATACTGTACATTAAAAATTTTGTGGTTATCTGATACCCGATGGCTGTGACTTGGACCTGGATGTGTACCGGGGCGTTAAAAACTCGAACTTCAAGTCGTCCCCTTCCTTTCCCAGCCCGATTGTACTGAGCCGGACTCAGTACTCCTAAAAATGCGCACCACAGTTATCGCGATCACTCTTCTTCTCCACCTTTCTTGTTATTCTCAATCCGTCGTTGGCTTTCCCATTCCCTGGTTTCACAAAAATACCAAATCAGCACCTGACATGGAAGCGTCTGGGCCAGTGTCTGATTCGTTAGCTGCACCTGTGCCTCCATTGTCCACGGAACACGAGTTGAAGGAGTTCAAAATAAATGTCTTTTCGGATAAAAGTTGCAAAAGGTCCTCGAGAACCTTTGAGGGAGAGGTTGAAAATGGGGAGATAAATGTGGATACGAAAGGGAATTGCCTCCAGTTTATGTTACCCTTCCCTTCCGGGTGCAAACTCCACCTCGAAAGGAAGACGGGCCAGATCCAGCAATTTGGGAGGGACTATCCAGAAGGAGCTATGCTGCATGGATATTTCAAAAGTATTGGGATAAAATGTGGTGGAACAGTGAGTTTGCCCCTACACTTTTTTACGTACCCAATCTCAAGTCCCTTAGGATTACTCTGCCAAGAACAAGAATAAAACCAAACAGCCAGGGAGGTGAAAGAGAAGGAGTAGTTTTCGAAGAGTCCTCAGGCTTATTTGTGACAGGATGGGGATATTTGGATTGTACTTGTTCAGCTTTCTCTATTCAGAAAGTGAATTTTTGTCTGAGGCCCTCCTTACCAGTTGTAGATCTGAACCTACATGAGCCTAAATTACATTCCACTGCAGGTTCGATGTTTGAGTTCCGCACTCAGTGGCAATGTGCATTTCCCGAAGGGTTATCCCCGTCCAATTTTCTGCTTTGAAGATACTCGTCTTTCCGCTCAACATTATTAAGATAAAGACTCTTGATTCCAAATTGGAATGTCGCTTCACCCGCATCGATATCTCCTTCCATGTGACTCGGTAATCGATGAAATTGCTTGACATCTATGTAGTCTGCAAAATCCATGCGAAGAGTCGCTGCGACGCATGGAGTCCATGACTAGTCCACGAAGTGTTGCATGGGAGACGAAACTGGACAAGGCAGGTTGGGTGAGGATAACAGTAGCATTAAAGTGGACTTCCTCGATGGATATGTCACTAGTCCCAACGGATTCGCAACATATGCAATGCCAGTGCCGTGCTTTTCATGTCAGTACGTATCCAGCATCAAATACATAGCACAAGGAATCATAGCCGCATTCCTTGTGTAGGAACCAAGCCGAAACGAGTTCGTCATCAATCGTCAGCACTGACTCCCATCCCCAATTCCTTCCACTTCTCGAATTCACTCCTCCGCTGATTGAGGTACTCGTCAGCCGAAGTTACTGCGTCATCACCAAGAGGGAACATGACCGGAAGCTCATCGTAGGTCAATACGACATCCAAGATGCGCTTTGCAACTTTTTGGACATCGTTGGGCTCATGGCCATGCAAAGCACGAACTTGCTCATGTAGTTCGCGCACGATGGCGTAGTCAGGAATCTATGAAGATCTTGATTAGTCGTGAAAATGTAGCCAAAAGAAGTGCTGTAATGGCTGACTGGATTTTTGACGGTGTTTTCGACAGTGCTCAAGTTTGAACCTAATAATTCAGTCCGGGTGAAACCAAGGGATACACCCATGACTCTTATTTTCAACGGAGCTAGTTCACCAGCCCAGACTTTTGTGATAGCTGAATTTGCCGCACAGTAAGCGTACAATGTACTTGCTGATAAAATCCTTGCACAGCACTCACTATCAAGGGCCGCCTTTGTCGCACTGTAGGGACCTGATCCTGGTGTTGTGATATATGGCATCATTGAGCTGATGTTAATAATGGTCCCCGAACGGCGGGCTCGAAAATGCGGCAAAAACACGTTTGAAACATTGAGGCTTCCAAAAAAGTTTGTGTTGAATATAGCGAGTGTTTGATCTGACCTACAGCGATATACTATCCGTGAGTAGAACCTCTTGTATCCCAATTCGCATCGCTTACGATACTTCTTCCAACGCTCCTACAAGAGGATATCCAGCATTGTTTATCAAGATGTCGACTTGGCCGCTGAACACAGCTTATCATTAGTTTCCATCCAAACGGCCCGGGAACAGGACTCGATGCGCACAACACTGTTAATGCTTTATTCGCAAAATCCTCCAACTGGGCCGTGGAAGCGGTCACATCTAGAGTTAAAATGGCGATATTTGGAGCCCGGAGGTTTTCGATTGCAGAAATCTTGCGAGCAGTGGCTATGACGCGGAGTCCTTGAGAAGCTGCTTCGAGGACAAGAGCGCGACCAAGGCCTGTGGAGCAGCCTGTGATAAGGATTACAGGAGAGTTCGAGTAGACCTCATCGACGGATGAATCAGTGGCCATAATGTTTATCAAGAAAGGGCGGGCTTGATTGTCGGAGAGGATATGTGCAAAGAAGGAATGTCCTTTTTTATCCTTCACCTTTAGTCAGGCAGGGATTTTTATGTTTGATACTTGAATTCATTGGGAGGTGAAACACGATACTTTGGAACATACAATAACGTAAAGAGCAGGAGGAGAATATAGAGATAAACGAGAAACTCAGAATGCAACTGGAATGCTATAAGTAAGATGGAAGCCTTGACTAGCGGAATCTGTAATAGCGGAATCTGTAGTCAATAAGGGAGCTTGCGAAGAAAATGCTTTGTTTACGGGCTTGTATCATTGAACAGGAAGGAAGTTTGTTTATTGCGACAAGAATTGTTTGAATGCTTGTCCCTATGGAGAAACATTCAAGCCTCGAACTCGACGGCCATTAGGGGATGGAAAATTATTCTTATATGCGCATTCTCAAAATCTGGTCTCGTTGGCTGTTAGGTGGTCATTTCAGCCCGGCTGGGGTTAACGTCTACTTTTCCGTCGTTAACGTTGGCAAAAGGCCAATCTCAATATATGATTCTCCCGCAAGCAAAGCAAGATGCGAAGAAATGGGCAGTGATAGATATCAGGTGCTCTACAAATTCAGAAAAGCACTCTTGTTTGTCTCACTAGGTCTAACCGGTATCAAATACATACACAGCACAAGAAAAAGGGCAGGAACCAGGCTAAGCAACTGGTATAGACTGGTATGATTTATTTCACATAGATAGATAGATAGATAGATAGATTGTTACTCGGCCCCACCACGTTAATGGTGTGGTCCCCTAAACGGAACGGCCGGTCTCAACGAGCGAACGACAGCGAGCGCAACCCACAAGGAGAAGGTAGACTGACGCCCGGACGTTGAGGCAGAGGAAATAGATAGAGGTACATGAGAGGGTAATAAAGTATATCCGATCGATAGTTAATCGTTCTCGTTAGAACTTTCGTCATAGCTCCCATCCAATTCTTGGTGTGTAAAGGCCTTCCATATCACAACTACTTCATGAATAAATCGCGCAACCCGACGTACTGTACTCCAATTGAATATAAAAGCCTTGAGGTAATACAGAGATTCAACATTGGTGAAAGTCCGAGTTGTTGGTAGGGGGATGAACACGGCGACATCAACGAGGAATTCGTTCCTTAAAGTAGTGATTGCGGCATTTGCAGTGCACTGTAAAAGGACGTGTTGTGGGGATTCAGGTTGCAGCGGTGAAAGACAAGCACGACACCGTTTCGAATGGTTTTCATCGAGGTTGAGTGAGTGAATACGAGCTGGGGAAGAGTGGAAAGTGATGGGCACCATATCCCCACATAGTAGACGGGTGAGTGAGAGACGGTGATGGGATTTGTATACATGCGTGAGGTAGTGGCGGAGGGTACGGGTAATGAGTTTGTTGGGTCCTGTCTTCTGTGGTTCAAGGCGGTGTTGTAAGAGAGCAAGTCGGTTGCTGTAGTCAATCTCGGTTTGTAAGCGCGAATTTGTTTCGGCTGTGATGGACTTGATGAGCGCGAGTATGCTTTCCTCGGAGATGATGGGGAGAGGTGGGAGAGAGAGAGAGCAGCCCGGTAGATGTTGTATCACCCAGTCCAGGTCGGACAGCCAACATGGAATTCCCGAGGCACGCATGTTGTGGTTTTCATGAATGGAAAGTTATTCAAACGTCCTTATCAGCATCAACTCCCATCCCCAACTCCTTCCACTTCTCGAATTCGCTCCTCCGCTGATTAAGGTACTCGTCAGCCGAATTTACCGCGTCATTACCAAGAGGGAACATAACGGGAAGCTCATCGTGGGTCAAAACGACATCTAAGATGCGCTTTGCAACTTTTTGAACGTCGTTAGGCTCATGGCCATGCAAAGTACGAACTTGTTCATGAAACGCGCGTACGTTAGCGTAGTCAGGAATCTATGAAAATCTCAATCTCGATTATATAGCAAAAAAATGATGACTGACAGGGTTTTTGACGGTATTTTCAACAGTGCTCAAGTTTGATCCTAGTAATTCAGTACGAGTAAACCCAAGGGATACACCCATGACTTTGATTTTCAACGGAGCTAGTTCATGAGCCCATACTTGTGTAATACCTGAATTCACCACACAGTTGAGTAAGTGCAGGCATGAAACCCGCTGCACAACACTCACTATCAAGAGCCGCCTTTGTTGCGGTATAAGAACCTGATCCTGGTGTTGAAACATATGGCATCATCGAGCTGATGTTAATAATGGTCCCCGAACGGCGGGCTCGAAAATGCGGCAAAAACACGTTTGCAACATTGAGGCTTCCAAAAAAGTTTGTTTTGAATATACCGAGTGTTTGATCTGACCTACAGCGGGATACTTTACATGAGTAGAACTTGTATCTCACTTGCAACACTCACGACACTTCTTCTAATGCTCCCGCGAGGGGATATCCAGCATTGTTTATCAGGATGTCTACTTGACCGCTGAACACAGCATATCATTAGTTGCTTTTCATATGAAATAGGACTCGATACGCACAACACTTTTAATGCTTTGTTCGCAAAGTCCTCCAGCTGAGACATGGAAGCGGTCACATCTAGAGTTGATACGGTGATATTTGGAGCCCGGAGGTTTTCGATTGTAGAAATCTTTCGAGCAGTGGCTATGACGCGAAGTCCCTGAGAAGCTGCTTCGAGGACAAGAGCGCGACCAAGGCCTGTGGAGCAGCCTGTGATAAGGACAACAGGAGAGTTCGAGTAGACCTCATCGACGGATGAATCAGCCATAGTGTTTATCAAGTAAGGGCAAATTCAATTGTCGGAGAATGTCCTTTTTGACCTTTAGTCAGGCAGGGGCTTTTTCTGTTTAATACTTGGGATTAGTTGGCAGGCAAAATACCATACAGAACATTTGTCAATATAGAGAGGAGGAGAATCTGGAGAAAGAATCTACACGAGGAATGCGACAGCTAAAATGGATGTCTTGATTAACGGACTCCCTTACTGCTTCATCGATAACTTGAATAAGACACAGAAGAGCACAGAGGTCGTATATTTGCCGAAATATGGCTCCCACACTGACCAATATCATGCAAACATCGCTTGAGATTAAATGCTGTTCCATGTGGAGAAACATTCCCAAAATCTCTTCAAAGCCGTTGATAGCTTGGTCTCGTCCCTCAAGGAAATGCAGCAAGCGATATGAAAGCAGACCAAATCTACCTGAGGTTGATGCCTCGTGGACCGAAATTTTGACGATGATGAGATAATACCCATGTTGATCTGACAGTGACCGTGATACTGAGCTGAAAAACTTAACATACCATTTCTCCTCATCATTATTCTCATGACAACTCTTCGTTTCGAGGATAAATCCAGCCCCTGCACAGCTCAGCGCTCTGTATGTGTGTGCGATGTGGACTCTGGACCGTAGCATTCTTAAATCGTCATAGTCACAATCTTAGCAAGTGATAGCAGGTGAAATGGAACGTCAGAAGTCTGAACAATCATTGTATGTAGAGCTCACCGACTCTCACCGAGCTCCTCCGGCAACATTTTTGCTACCCTCAAGACCCCTCTTAAGACCAAAGTGGGACCCATTACGGAGAAGCACTATCGCGGTTCTCTATTCTCTAACATAGCTAGCCGTCTTGTAGTTCACGAAAAGAGCCGAATAAATAAGCTCTATTTTGAGGTACTATCGTTCATGTCACGTGTGAGAGTTTCACGTGCCGTGGCGTTTACTGTGACACTTGCTTTGACCTGCTCCGACTGTTAGATTTGCACTCGAAGTCGTCCATAATACTCCATAATCTGCCGATACTCTCAAATGGTTAACTACACTGTCGGGCAACTAGCCTACCTCAAAATTTTCTTCCATGCTGCCAAACACCCTCATTTGCAAGTAAACGGCGTACTCCTAGGGAAGAAAGTTTCTGGGACAGTGGAAATTGTCGACGCTGTGCCGCTATTACACCACTGGACAAGTCTTAGTCCGATGATGGAAATTGGCTTGGATCTTGTGAGTATGATCTCCCCTGTGTACATAAATCCTAACTTTCCACATTCAAAGAAATATCTGATATTCACGCGTTCAGGCAGGGAAACACGCTGAAAGCCTGGAATTGCAACTCGTGGGATATTATCAAGCATCTGAGAGGCTGGACGATACTGCGCTGGCTCCGGTCGGAGAGAAGGTTGCAAGTAAAGTAAAGGAGGGCTTCGCGGATGCTGTCGCTTTCGTGGTACGTTTTTACTTCGCCATGAGCATAACCAAGCAATGTGACTGATGCTTGTTCATTAATTTAGATCGACGGCGAGAAAATAGGCTCAGACGATGCTGCGCTAATTGTACGCCTTTTCGCAGGACTCCAGTGGAATACCTGATCTCATATTTCCGAATAGCCTTTTATCGCTCAATTGCCCTCATCATCATGGCGGCCTTACGCAGAACCAGGATCTGCAGCGCCTTTCACTTCAGGTTCTTTGTTTTCGTTATCATCGCCCGACATTCCCGCTCGCGCTGTCGCCTTGGTTCGAGATCAACAACTGCAACGCAAGTTCGGTGATTTCGACGACCATCTTGAGAATGTAACGATCGGTGAGTCGTTGATGGACTCTCCTAAAAGACTGTGACTTTTCATCCTGATTTGCTTTTTCCCAGATTGGTTACGCAACAGAGCAGCCATGCCGTCTGATATTCAGCAATGATACTATATTGGACCACGTTCAGAGACATGGAATGAAGTATTTTGGAATGTTTATCACAAGTATGTTTACAATTTCTCATGAAGCTCATTTCGTATTGAGACCGGAACATTTCTGTGGAGAATAAACGATATCTACAAATTATATATAGCTGGAGACAGGAGTTGAGATGAAGGTATCCTGGGACCTGATGCATGATGAACGATGTTCATTGAGACGTATGTACCGAGTTAGAATCATGGCAATTCCGGAATAACAATTCAGAGGCGAAAATCAATAATGTAAGTAATAAGTAAACGGAAGGCGATTCGAAAATTAAACAAAACATGCAAGCTGAGCAGGATCTAGGCATACAGCAACTCAACGAAGTGTGAAAAGAATTTTTGACAATTCCCGGATCGTTGGAGCGAGGTAGAGTAAGGCAGTTCAAACAGAGACCTAACTTGAATATTGGCGATTCAGAGCAGACATCGATGGTTTCCGACTCGGTGTACTCCTCAAGCTTTCTATGCGCGCAGCAGCTGCCAATACGCTTCCCCCTGGTAATGATTCCTCTATTGACTCTGAATCATTTCCGTCATCAGAAGCAGGATCCAAGCTTAGCTCATCTCCAAACTTCAAAGGACCTGTCCTTACCCGTCCATCAACACCACGGTTGGTCAACTCGCTCAGCTCCAAAGTCCGCATAAGCGTGTTCCCTCTTCCGCCTAGGGTTGATGGCAGTCCTCCAATACTGCGAACACTATTGTCAACCCGCTTTTTTGGAATTGCGCTAGGGGACAGCGTAACGTAGGATCGACGGTGCGTAAGATTCGGTGAGGCTGGCGTGGGAGATCGAAGAGATTGACCGGGAGAGTTGAGGCGAGAGAATACTGGCGAGGCAGGTGATAGCGGCATTTGTGACGGGGCTGGAGATGCACGATCGGATGATCGTAGAAGAAAATTCGTTGGAAGAGGCGGAGGAGGCTCTTTGGATATACTAGCCTGGTTGGAAAGATTCGCCAATGATGCGCGTCTGCTCAGGGGTAAGGAACTTCCCGGAATGCGGGGAGATTGCGATGGCTGATGTGGGGCAGGCGACAAGGAAGGTTGCTGTGATGAATAAATTTGGTTTAGCTGAGCGTGAGATATTCGACGCTTCAGTGGAGAGTGTGGTACAGGCGGTGGAGGTGGACGAGGAGAAGAAATATTGCGTGGAACAGGAGAAGGAGATTGGGGAACCACTGAAAGGGGGGATGGTCTCTTCTTCTTGGCCGATCCAGCAGCAGGTAGGATCGAAGGCTTCATCGGCGGTCGGGTCAAGACACTGGTACTTGGTCTTCTCAGAGCCCCTCGAATTCCACCACCAAATTTCGCTCGAGCTTCCTCGTACGAAGGTAAATCCATCCTAGATCCGAAGGTTGGTGTCCCACACCTCGAGCTGGCCCTGCCCATTTCTCTAACATCGAGTAGCGCCTCATCATGAGGATCGACTGCACTTCCACCCATGTAATTCGAGTTAGGAATGTCAAAGAATGCCGAACCGCTTCCAGCTCTTGCTCGTCGTTGAATTGGAATCTCAATAGGAATGGCAACGATGTGTCCGAAAAGTGAGCCAGGTGCTTTGGTGACTTTGGTGACCTTCCATCCTGCAGAGTGTGCGAGGGACACGATTTCTCTGAGAGTTCGTTCCTGACCATTAAACATACATTGCATCTATGTGTCACATCTTTAAGCATGATTCGCGACCGATAAAGACAAATACTCACTGTCATATCCATCCAATATCCATTTGCGCTTGCTTTACCAAGATTGGGAAGCAGAGGAGCCGGAGCCAACATCGTTTCAGCTCCTTGAATTTCTGTCAGGCCCGTCTCGTCTTTGTCTTGGGCCGACCCGAAATTGTCCGCACACGCAAGCGGGAGAACAAAATCCGCAATGAGAAGCTTAGTATCAGGCATAGCAGCCTCTCGTAACCGAAGAAGAATTCGTTGTGCGAACGCATCAGGCCAATCATGGAGAACAACACGCAGAAGGAACACAGCGGCATTCTTGACGGGTTGAGGCAAGAAAAAGTCATGCACTGTGAACATACGCATCAGATAAAATGTCAATGTTATCATCTAAATATGGACGATAGGTGCCTTACCTTGGAACCGAGCAACTCCAGAATCCACTAATTCCGGACATTTATCTTTCCATGCCTTCTCACCCATGTCAACTACCACTTCACGATCTTGAATGATGAATTTTAAGCCAGGTGCATCCTCGTCTGATGAAATATCTCTTCCATCGCTGTATGCATGCGCTAGAAGCATACTGGTCGAGCCTATGCCCCCTCCGACATCTACGATAACACTCCCCTTTGGTAAAGATTGCCAGTCAAAACCTGAAAGAATCCGATGCGTTAGTCAAATTTCATTCACAAAGAGATAAGAAACAAGTTGCACCGTTTAGAACAGCTCCTGGAACCTCCCATGATGCCGTACCAGTCATGGCCTTCCCGAATCTCTCCAATCTAAAGCGATTCGGGTTCGCGAGAGGTTCGCGAGGTTTGTTGGTGGGGCTACCCTTGCCACTATACATGTCGGCAGCCTTCCCAATGCTCGAGGTTCCCCGTTTGTGGTTTATACTCCCGTTTCCTGGAATCACTACTCCAGGAATGAGATCCACGCCTCGGCCGGGCCCGTTGACTTGTTTTCCATCGATGCCCTCACCCTCGAGCCAGCCAAAGAACCCAACACCTTCGCAACCAAACGCGTGGTTGAAAGGTGCCCTTGTCGGCTCTCGTCCATTCTTGTGTTTTTGCGGAGATAGAAAGTATGTTTCTGTGAGAAATCCAGCGGATTTGAACAATTCGTCCGTGCTAGAAAAAGAGATTAGTCCATTTTACGATCAAAGATAAATTCTCATGGAACGTACCACATCCCAAAGAAAGCTGAGACACCGTTGGTATCGCTGTACTTAGTTTCCGGACTATACGGGTGGCAAATGAGCAATGCCCTCATCTCAAAGAGACTGAGAACTTACTTTCGCATCAGTTTTTCAAATGGTTTTTTTGTGTCGAGAATCGAGGAGAGTCGGTTGTTGGCAAAAACATTAGGGCTGACTTCGCGAAGGATATGGTGGGTCGCCAGTAATCGAAGGATATGTGCTTTGGGGATTCATATGAGCGTCGTACAACAGAAAACCACGCGTGACTACGCCATCAGGAACAAGAACTCAAAACGTACCGAGTTTGTTTTTGTCGACACCATTCTTCTCAGCGATCACTTTTACGTGTAAGCCATCCGGACCTGCTTCGCGAAGAATTTCAACCGTATGTGAGGCTTCAAGTAACCTCAAACACGAAGGCAAATGAAACTAAGTATCGGAGAAGTATCAGTATTGGCAGAACCGATGACAGTGAAAACATAAGACGGGAAGAAAATTTGAGTTAAAATGATCTAGGCAAGAGAGAATGGGATTCAAGATACGAGAAAGAGACGCGTACACCCATGCCAGCATCACAGAGCGTTAGGAACGGTATCTGCACCGTTGCGCTCATCTGTCCTGCCGCAGCCACTATTCTGTTAACCGCTGATATTACCACAGGATGAGAGGTGAGGTTTTCCGAGGGCGAATTAGGATCAAATGGAAGGTCGAGAGAAGGGAAGTCGAGAGTGCTGAGCGGCGTAGTTGAACGATCTTGGGACGATGGTTGACTCTGGAAATAGCTTGAAATCAAAGGAGAAGGCGGGGGTGAAGCATATGCGTGTCCTTGCGCGGAATTTGAGGATTTATGCGTCGGTGAACGGGCTGTCGACGCTGTCGAAGGCGTTCCAGGCGTCGAAGTCCTCGAATTATGCGAAGAGTTTCCAGCTTCAGCATATATTCTCTCTACGTCGTCAAGAGCATCTCCGATGAGAGCGTGCAGAGCTCTGAGGACAGCAAAAGTCATTGCTGAGGACAGAAGGTAAGTTGATAAAATGGAAGATGGTGGTCGTAGAACGAATCAGGACCGAGTCGAATATCTGCAGGGATTGGGCTGAGGAATTGATGGTAAGTGTTCCCTTTATAGACATCCAAGTCTGCCTAAATTGGGACTCTTAGATGCCTGATTTGATGCTTCGAACTTGTCATTGGTCAACCTTCAAGCTTGTCAATCGCGGTCTGACCGCCAAATTTTCACAATCTCTTTTCATTCGGTTAGATCTCCGACGTAAAAAGAGGCACACAGCTACAAGAGATTGAGAACAAACCATTGGCGCTTACAGTTGTACGAATTAACCGATTTAGTATTATTAATAACAGCTTTGACCGACCGTACTTCCGGCTCCGTGGACCTTCGACTCCGACCTACTTGCCACAGGATGAGCCCATAGAGGTCATCAACGTCAAAATTGAAACGTACAACAGTATAAAATTGAGGATTTTCCTTCGTTACGAATACAGTAATGTCAGTACCTAGGCTTGTGAAGTAAATGGCGGTACATATTTTCCACTTCCTTTTACGAAAATATCCTACAGAACGAGGCTATGAGCTGAGAACATTAAGCCAGTAGCAAGCGGCGAACCTTTATGATTCCTGCTCCTATCTGATGCAACGCCTCCCGACTTTCCCAAAGAGGATACAGGACCACCGAGAAGGCAGACATAAACGTCCATATCAATCCTATAATGACCCAAGCCGACAATCCTCCTACGCCGTATATTGTCTGCGCAAAGAAGAGTGGTAGAGGGATGAGTATGATCAGAACCAGGAGCTATATTAACAATCAGGAGGGCAAATCACTAAGAATCGTGAAAGCCTGTCTGCGCACCAAGCCCAGAGAAGACCATGCAGCAAACCTGAAGGCTGACTTAAGCTTAACAGGATCCAGTTCTTCTTGCTCCTCCGTCGCAATCGTCGAGTCAATGACAGACGGTGACGCCGCCTCCTCACTTTCTCTAATTTCTTCTTTCCTCTCGAAATCTTCAGCCTCGGTTTTACCTTCTTGTTTCATTTCCTCCGACTTAACAGGATTGGGATTGGTTGCCGAAGGATTGTTGATGGCTCTAGTAATGTCGAAATCAAAGTCATCAGGCCACTAAGGAAGGATAAGAGATCCCAGTCTAGACCGAGACAAATTGGTTTCGCTCACAATCAACGAAGTAACCGTAGCAATTATTCCACCAACACCGATCGACGCCAAATTACCAGCGAGCATAGGGAAATTTTCTGTAAGCAAATAAGCGATCAGTATACGCGGTTACGCCGAGGAGGACAACGGCCAAAAGCAGAGGCAGGGACATGTCGACAGAAATATCAAAACGCCGTAGATACGACAGTAGACGTTCACCTCCTGTAGTCTTGAAACCAAAGCAGAGTGAGCACAGCCCCTTCATGGAAGATTAAGGAAACAGTAAACGTACTGTGACGTTGATGACGCCTGCATAGAGCGTACTCGTCGTTACCAACCACGCCAGTAAACCAGCAAAAAAACCAGCAATTGAGGCGATTATACATCCCCACTTGTTAGCTTTACTCCATGTGATACAAAGTGCAATGGGAACGACCCCGGAGCCTAGAATTACACCCATGAATGTCTGGAAGAGGACAAAGGAGGACAATCTAATGAGTACATAGTCATGGTACGAGAATAAGGAAAAGTGATGGAGGCTACAATCAACGGCGTTTCGGAAAGAAGAGTCACCGTTGGAGAAAGACTTACGTATAACCAGCCCATCGATACGCCAATATAGAAGAAGATTAGGCCTGCAAGCGCCATGACAAGACCATAAAGGCCAACCTGTTCATGTTAAAGAGAGGGAAAGCGAATGAGAATTCACCAGGACCAACCATGTAATGTCCCACTTGCAAAAGTTGACTATCCGTGGCATTAGGCTTGATATATTTCTGGAAAACGACAAGCACAGTCAACGCGCGCCTAGCAGCCTTCTGCGGTACCGCATAATCCGTACCTTGAACACATCATATGTTAACAAGCTGCTGACAGCAATTAATTCTGCTGAAGTGGCACTCGTCACAGCAAGGAACAAGAGCACCAGGAGAGCCGCGGCCCCGGCTTGACCCATGAGCGCGGCTGCAGCTGCAGCGGCGGGAAGCCCCGCAGACACATCTGCCGCGGAGAGCGGTCTCATATCCGGGTCTCCTCGCAATGCGACCGCTGACAATCCGAGGGTGGTGGCGAATGTGAACGGGATGGCAAACCTGGATGGACACATGTAGAGATAATGTCAGTCCGTTCATGATATGGTAACGGGGAATGTACCAAGCTAATCCCCCTACAAGATACGCTTTGACTGTGGTTTCAGGCCGGCTTGCAATCGCTCTTTGCCAGTAGGCCTGGTCTTGAAAAACGGTGGCAAAGTTTCCGATGATGTTAATGACACCGAATATGAGCCCGTCCTTAGATCTCATGGTGAGATAGGACCCGTGCGCATTTCCGGGGACGGGGGTAGCACCGGCTGCTGCAGTGAGTAGTTCATGCATACGCCTTGTGCTACCAATTTTGGGACTTGTGGTATAAACCGTGAAGACGAAGGTCTATGAAAACCAATTTTGGATTAGTGATTCAGAAACGACTATATATATAGAGGATTGCCACGAACGAGGATGATTGCGAAGAGAACAGTCGTATGAGTACTTGAAACAAGTCAGATTCGCCTACTGATTGCACTTTTGGAAAAGGACGCACTAGTCGCATAACAACGTAGACCGCATTCCACCGACAATCACATAGATCACTACTCCAAGAGGAATGAGGAAACATGCCTTCAGGAAACTCAGTCTCTCACGGCTAAAGTGTTAAACTTTCATACAGTTACTTACGGCGAGGGTATCCATCCCAGTAAGGTCAGTAACAGTAGCACTTCCTCCAAGAATTAGCATCGAGCTGACTATGATGTTGGTAGCAAGACTATTGATATATGGGTTTCATGAACTTTCTGAAGTTCAATAATCACTGACCCGAAGAACATGAAGATCAAATGAGCTGTCTTTCCCCATCTGGTACCGACGATCTCGAGCCATGTGTGTGCATATGGAGCGTTCAACTTGAGCTTTGCCGCAAGCTAGGCGAAAAGTAGGATATGTGAGGAATTCTGAGCCCTTTTCATAAATTCTACATACCATTGCGAACAAAAGTACTTGTATAGTAGCGCCTGCTCCGTACCACCAAGGACCACTAATTCCTATATATTTGGATAAAAGGCAAACGGTGGATTAAGTATAACTCGCAGGCTATTGAAAAGAAATTCTCTTGCCATATTTATACGCAACGGCACTGCTTTGAAGCTGGATACATCTTTTAACACACGTTTTTGTGTTCAGAATGATGCTCACCAAAGTTGCTGCCCAAGTCCACTACATGCTTGAATTAATCGAGAGAAGTGATCAGGTAGAATCAACTTACCGCAGAAACTATGCCCGAAGCAATCAATCCAGGTTTGACACTCCTAGAAGCGCTACTAAACTCCTCCGAACTCTTCGGCGAAAACGCCGTATATCGTGCTTGTATCGTTGTCAGAAGTAACATGAAAGCACTAAAAAACAGGCCTATCCCTGTGCGCATCCTCCTCATTAATAACGCACAGCTCGAGAAGGGGTTGGAGGTTAGCATACCGACAACTATATCGACGCATTATCAAGTTAGTCTCTCGTGATTTAAGTAGATTTCTGGATACTCGCCAACACCATAACCTGCACCTTGAGGTAACACATTACCGGGAGAAGACATTCTGCAAGAGGGCCAAAACGCTCAGTGTCGTGCTTATATAGTAAGAGCTTCGTGAGGTGTGATAAGAAGGAGGGTCCAAGGACGTCTTATCTCAAGCTGGAGCTTTCATAAATTATTATACTGTAAGATAAGGAAATGAATTCAAGTTGATTCAGAAGGTCAAAGTTTCCCAGAGCCCGATTTTGAAGATAAGGACGAGACTTGTCGATATTTGACGCGAAAACTGGCATTCTATTCGGTGAAGTAGGAAAGGTTCGTTGGCTGAAGCGCATTACTCGCTCATGAAATGAAGTAGGTTATAAAAATTTCAGGGTGAGCTGAGGGTGAGAAGAAACAAATTAGACGCTGGTAGTTGCCGCCAACGCTCAACCATGACCGACAGCGCAGACCGTTCACTACCTTCATGGGCATCTCCAGAAATTTCAGAAACCAATGAAGAGGCATTGAAAGCCCTTCAAACATACAAGAAGAAGGATGCGGATAAAGGTCTATGCGATGTATCACCCTGTAGTGCCATTCCTGACTTTCGACTCAGTTATCGTTCGTTTCAAAGCGGTTGGAAATGCCCCAATAATGAAACAAAACTTTTTCAAAATTACAGCTTCGAACCGATTCCAAGCTGTGATTCAGTTTCTACGAAAGGAATTAGGATATAAGGGCTCGGAACCTCTAGTATGTTCATTCGGTTCTTTCGCTTCCGACAAGCACTCGAATACTCAATATCGATGCCTATGCCCAGCACACATATATCAATCTCGCATTCTCGCCTGCACCAGACGATACTGTTGCGAATTTGTTCAAAGTATGTTCAGTTAGATGTTTGGCAAGAGTCTTACACTGACTCTAATCGTTCGCGATCTAGTCTTTTCAGACGGATAATCATCTCATTGTGAATTATAGGTACGATTGTGCACCTGCTTACAATCTTTTCTAATTTTGAACAGCACAACAGCCGCTTGGGGTTAATCATTCTGTTTATCTCCCTGGTCTTGACAGAAATGTACTACTCTACTGTATCCCTCCATAATAAATCCGCAATTTGCTTTTGGTCAAAATTCGAGGACCACACGACCCTTCCACTATGCTTTGTTCATTTTGATCTACCAAGCCGATGAAACCCTCCCGTATCACTACCGGGAAGACCGCATCATTATCATTCACATACTTTGGGGAATACAAGAGAATCCGGAAGATGTGGTGATTCTGTAATATCGAGTGATTCAAGTTTGTGGGCTGGCCCCAATTGTTTTTTTACCCTTACTGATACACTGCGCAGGTGCTATAAAACACGCCTGAAAACTTCGGATGATTCACAGATCGGAATGCCTGTGCCAGATACATTTGACGCCTTTGTGCCTTCGAATTTTGCAGACCTCTTTGCTACGGCCGAGATCCCACCCTACATTGGCTTAACAGAGCTCAGGGAACTGGAACGCAACGTCGTGAACAAATTCCAACCCTCCTATCTGCACGCCCAGAAGCTTTGCTCCAAGATGATTTTGGATCATTCTCTTCGTTGCTACTACCTCGCTCTTGCCATTCTTCAGAGCTTTCCATCTAAAACACCGTCTATCCCTCAAATTTCCCGAGACGAGCTCATTGAAAGAGTGTATCTGGCCTGCATTTTGCATGACCTCGGCCTTAGTTCGCACGAGGAAGCAATTGCCCATCCCACTCGCGACATGACGTTCGAAATCCACGGCGGGATTTTGGCTTACGAACATTTACGAGCAGAATACGCGCCCGACCTCCACCTCAACAATTCCCAAATTGCCGATGTTGCGCAGAGCATCATGCTTCACACAGTTTCATTCCAGACAGGCATGTCTTCAGCTGCGGGCATGTTATTGTACGTTTCTGCCTTTATTGATGTGGTTGGCTACGATGCTGCACCTCCGAACACAAAGGAACGCGCGATTACTTATGACACCGTGCGAGAAATCGAGGAAGCGTTCCCTCTAGACGGTATGTCGCTCAGATTTGGTGGGCAGATTCAAGAAATGTTGGACGCGAAGCCGAATTGTCTAGTCAGTCACTCAGTAAGTCTTTTCCTACAATTATGTTATGTTACTAATAGTTGTTGTAGCCAAATCTTTTAAAACAAATTTCTGAGAGAACTACGTAGATAATCGTGCAGCTCTCGTGGACTTATAAATACTGAAATTTTTTCCAACCAATTACTAACTCATGTTCTGTGTGAATAAACTTGCTCATCTTCCTGGCATCTTCAATAACATCACATTCAGGCGCTGTGTCATCTGTGTGCCCCAGACCGTCAATGACACTGCGGTTGCACATAAGATATTCATAGGAAATTCATTGAGCAACTTCATGTAAATAAAGATAAGATTTTTCTACATTTTTATCACCAGATTTAGTATATCTATTGCAGTTGAATGGTGAAATGTAATATTTGATCACTTTCCATGTAAATTCCCCGCAGTTATGACATGAATATTGATTCATTTTGTGCGATGGAAGTGAATGACCTTATTGCTCCCAAAAGATTAACTATATCGGGGGAAAATTGAAATGAAATTGATAATGTCTTTTTGTAAAGATAGCTCGAGATAATGATAAGCTATATTTGGTGAAATTGATAAGCTTTTACCTTGCCCTTTGTCCGAAATAAAGACCGACTATTGACGAAGAAAAAGAAAACAGACGTTCGGAGGGCATTTACCAGGAGCAGGTCGGGAAACGGTCAGGGGATAGTCAGACATCGAAGAGACGCCAATTACCACGCCGTAGTGCCCAAGCAACGAGCCGTTGATCGATGGAGTCAACGCCTGAGTTGTCGCCATACCAAAGCTTCGCAGCAAGATCGCAGGTTACTGTTGAGGTTGACGTAGGCCGTGATAGATAACATGTTAAGAAGATGAATGCATTATAGCCACTAGCAACGAGAATGACTCAATATGCAGCTCACCTTTTCTGTAGTCCTACGGTAGAATATATATCGACAGAGAAGGCATGGTCCCGCTATCTAGTCTAGATGGTATATAGAAACAACAACATTTACGCCAAGTCTATAAGTGCATCATCAGTAAGATGGCATACATTTAAATCTAGGAATCTGTATACTCATCTGGACAGACCCGTCAACTGCTTATTTGACCGTTCGAATACTATAGATCTCAGAAATTGTAAAGCTGCATCACAGCAACAATTTCACAGTTCGATACATACTACGAACCACAATTATAGGTATGAATTCTTCTACTAAGAAGATCGTAAGTCAATCAGAACGCAATTTCAAAGAATCTGGAATACCTTTAACAAGTTGCGGCCCTCCAAAGCGTTGGCCAGACGATCGTCCTCCAAACATATTTCCAATGGCCAGCGAAAGAAAACTTCTCGATGTGCACTCGGCAACCTGATTTGAAGCCATCTCGTAAGTAACCAAATGACAGAAGAAGTTTGCCATACACGATCGACAGTAAAGTCGGGGACGATCAACGCATTGAATCTCCAACAGGATATGGCTCACGGATTCTAGAGCAGGTTCAGTTTAGCAGAATGATCTTTGGAGCACTCACCCGCTTGACGTCGATTCGCGACCCGAACTGGAGGAAATCAGATCCTATCTAGACAAGGACAATGCGTGTCCCACTGTTCCTTGCGCCGCACAAAACTATATGACATCCCGATTTTCCATACCTCTTCTCGATCGACGTAAGCGTATAACCAGCCGGGACCATCCGCAGGAGAGACGGTTTGCAAAGTTCGTTGGCAAAAGATTTTTGGTAATCTGGCAGGAGATGGACGGGGCATGAACGAGAGACTGAGCGGAACAAAAGCGAAGAAGATTTCAGCTATAAGGCAAGGATAAAATGATCACATACTGATTTCTAGTTGGTGCACGTTTGCGAGAATCGTAAGGTGAATCACGAATCCAATGAGACGGACTAGGCGAGTGTCTGAGTGCAATGTAGAGACGTTGAATGAAGTAGATACAGTCGTGTAAGCAATATATAGTTCGATAGCAGACTAACAAAATAGGATGAAGGATGAAGGTAAGACTCGCACAAATTTCGAAATGTAGAAATATCTAGCTTACAGCTTGTACGGTCAAGCCGACGTACTGATATCCCGAATGAGATTCACTATATCCACTGGCACTTACACTCAATAGCCATGAGCTTGAGTTAATAAAAGCGGAGCAGCAACGATGCTCATGTGAATATGCAGAGAGCAATCTGCCTGCACCACCAGTGCATGGAGCACCTAGCTTTTACCAAGTTGTGAACGAGCTTGTAGGGATCATGAAGCAATTCATGTACGACGCCCCAGCAGACACCCTGAGCGGGACGGACTATTGGAAGGAACAGTTTAAGATTTTCAAGGTTACACATCAGTGATCTTAAAGCACTCACCTGTCTCTCTGGCAGTCTATACAATGTCTCATTAATTCAGAATTCCAGGGACACCAGTTTTCGAAACTAATATTGACGACTTTCGCTCGAGTCTCGCTGACAGATATTTGCACAGAATACACTTGAATTTGGAAGAAAAGTCCGTGTATATTGTTGAGAAAGCCGTCCGAGAGATTACCATTGACGGCTGTTTGATCTATGAGAGCACGAGAAACGAGAGGTAACTTGGCAAACGGAACCCGGGAGGGCAACCTGGATGATAAAGACAGTTTGGATAGCAAGCTGATGCGTCAGAGTTGAAGATGAGGAGGGAGGCATGAATTGTTCGTGGAGATACATTTAACCGTATGGAAATGTTTCGAAAAGATACTGTGTGTCGTGGCTTGATACATATTCCACTCGAAAAAACTAAACGTGTAGATTAAGAAGCATGGATGACGGAATACGGACCGATGATCAGACGCTGACTGGCTCTGGCTTACACGTGGTTATCCCGGAGTTCCGGCTCGGTCCCAACTTTGAATTTCTCGTTCTGAGTGTTAAGGAGCTCGGGGACGACCAATCAAGCAGAATTCCTGTGCGGTGGGTTCTTCTCAAGTGCATTACATATTTGTCCTTGAATTTTTCAATGTCTACTAACAGTCTACATGGAAAGATAATCAAAGAATCTCATGAATTCGTACGTCAACAGAGGAGTGGCTGCTACAGGGGGCTTAGTCTGTCATTGCCCCAGAAATGCTCCTCAATCAGGCCAAGTAAGTCGGTGAGTTACGATTTTGTTACTCTGATATCTTCAAGATAACAGTACGAAATACTCGCACATGTGGACAGCGCAGATTCCCTGTTTGGAGTGGTCTCGAAGACCTTGACAGCAATAAGTCAGATCGGAATGGGTACCTGAGAGACGAAAGGGGGAAAGATAAACAGGATTTGGATTTGGATTTCCCTCGACCGCTCAATATCGTGTACACAAGAGTCGGGTAGTCCAGGGTAGGTAGTTTCATCTTATACAATACAATATTCTGTCTATTGACGCATCGTCTCAGAAATTTCCCCTCACTTACGAAAATCTAGAACCATGTTACGACCAGAAATTTACATTACAGACTATAATCTATTGCCCTTGCCTGCGTGCCTCCTTTTCAGCTTGTGCAAGGCGCTGCCGAACTTCCTTAACCTCTTTTCGAGCGCTGACAGCTTCATCTCGAAGTGATATTTTTTGCAGCGCTTGCTTGCGGTACTTCAGATGACATCTGATGAAATCATCCACCGCCCAATGATCGCGATAGTCATCAAGAAATTGGAATTTTTTTACAGCCTGAAATAAAATAGAAAGCGATTGAGGCACATTGTCCAGAGTGAATGTGGTTCGGAACATGCTCACCATCGATCGTACCTCCTCTACCTTTGACGCAAGTTGTCTGGTGAGAGGTTCCGTGCAATCCAGGTGAGCTTGAACGAGTTTATCGATGTAAGCCTAGTAAATATATCAATACAGACACGACATAAGAACATTTCCACGAACCTTCACTTTATCGAAACGATCCGTTGACCATTTGAGTTCCACCCGTAAATTATAACCCCCCCGCCCAGGTCTACTAACTTCACCCCGGGGCTTCGGAATTTTGCCCAAGGCAGAGTCAACATCTTCAAGCTCCTCCTCATCTGCGTCGCCTGATCCAGGCGTTACTACTTCTGACCCAGGCGTTACTGCTTCTAGGCACTGTGTCGCGTTGGAACTGTGGGCAACATTGATGTCTGCAACGTGAGAGACCTTTTCAGGTGTTATCTTCTGGACTTGCCCGTTTCTAGTCAAAATGATACGGGGCTGAGAGGTGCGGTTTGGCTGAGAGGCCGGCGATCTGTGAACACTGGTACGAGGGTGGACAAGCGGAGATGAAGAGGGAGGAGCGATGCGTCCCTCGATTAGAGTAGACGTATAAGGGGATGGAGAGGAATAAAATGTAGGATCTGGGGATGGGGATCGATTAGGCGACGTTCGCCGAGCCACTCGCTGAAGTTCAGGATTCAGGATACGACGGTCAATTGATTTAGACTGTACGGGTGATGTATGTAGTAGCTCGACACGATCGTGGTACTTTGAATTCGTTTGAGTGGTGTAAATGTGTCGAGTTTGGCGAGATACATCCATGGCGAACGATGGGATGAGAGTAACAATTTCTTATTCAACTTCCGGAGAATATTTATGAGTTATGACATCGACAAAGAGCCTTGACGTGAACAAAGGGAATGCCCCTGTGATTCCCCGTCGTTCAAAGAAAAAAGGACCGTTGTTGTTTAAATACAATCAATGCTTGTTTCAGATAATCACTGATTGTTTACAATCATCATCATACGTTATAGTTTTCGGCCTGTAAGAAACATGCTGGCCTGTCTATGTGCAGTATCATTCAAACGATATTCATCGATGAATTCAGGCAGGCGAATCATTCATGTCGTCGACAAGGGCAAACGACGTCCTTCATCTCCTTTCTGCTTTGAGTACAATGAGTTCCGCTTGAATCCAAGCGATCAAATATCTGTGTTAACACAACGTACCGAAGATACACCTTTGTGTAAGCCCTTTACTGTTATCTTCTACCTAGGGAAATGCATATATAGAGAGAGAGCTAAATTTGAGACATCACTACTTGCGGCTCCTCATGAACTCAAATCAACCCGACGCCCCTGCGTTTATTCGCAAACCTCCTTACGATCACATTGAACTTCGCTCCTCCATCATTACAAAGCCTGTTTCCGCTGATCGTCGCATTCTCAGCTCTCCGGGTGCTAGCAGAACTCCTCGATCGACTGTCCGGGTATCCCCTTACCGTTATTGTCGACCGCTGTCGCCAGATCCCAGCTTTCAGCCAGCTTCTTTAACTGCATTGGACACCTCTAACGACATTTCCCCCACCCCTGTTACTCAATCTGAGAATTTGCCAATGTTGAACCCGACAATTTCTCAGCCCCGGATTGTCACAGCCCGAATCACGACCAGTGATGCTTCGAATGAGAGTCGGCCTCAGGAGTTACTGGCCCACGACGATTCCGGAGACGAATTCGAGACAGAAGATAAGATTCCGAAACCCTCCGGTGAAGTTGGACAACCTACTCGGGGAGGGTATAACTTGCGCATCAAACTAGGATGGGCGGACGACAGGTTTGACGACGTCGAGGTCCTTATGTTGATCTACTTATGCGATATCTGCTCAAAGTCATCTGCATAGAAATTCATCAATGAAATTGTTGGAAGAAAGCTGGATGCCACACAAATTTTCGATCAACAACCTCTCTCAGACATCAAGGAACTCGGTGACATAGTGAGCCCTCGTATACTTTGTTTCCTGATCTAATTCCTGATATATCTTGCAGGCCGTCAGAAGATATCCGTTTCTCAATGAGTATCGTGGTAATTGGGTGGTTCATGATTTCGTCAAATGCAATTTGAAGCATCGCAAGAGAATTCTCGCAAAGCCTGCAGCTGGTCTTGGAAAAGGGAAAAATAGCTTACATAGATCAGATAGATAAGATAGCTGCTTTACAGCCTGTAACCAGGAAATGAATAGGCGGGCGCCTGGCACCGTCCTGAACTTTCTTCCCCCATCGTCTTTTCACTTATTACAGCAAGCTCCACCTGAGCTCAATACTAGTATAACAAATCTGAATATCGCGAAAATACTTATATCGTCGAATTTGGGTTGAAGCAGATAAGCTGCTCACTATGCAGCCTTAGATTTGGACAGTCGGTTTCCACCCAAAATCTCTCACGTCACTATCGAGTCGTCTCACCATATATATTTATTGGGGTTCGACCGTTGACGAATTCGTGGATCACCTACTTTATGGCTGGGACATTTGCGGAAAGAGATATGAATGGTACGAATGCCGAAATTTGCTTTGTTTATTCCACTATTGAACGCTGAGCATCGAGTTCATCTCCCGAAGAACTGATTGCGAGATATTTTGACGATTCAACCAGTTCAGAAGCCTTACGATTCATATCAAAGGATGGTGACACAAAAGTTATTCCACAAGTGAGTACCTATCGTACTTTTTCTTATCTTCTTTCCCTGGCTTACCGGATGTAGCCCTTGTAGCCTCGGTTTACCAGGGGCACCTGCGCGAGAAGCCAACGTGAAGGGCAAGGTTCGAACGCACTCAAAAGGATTTCACGGCTGCCCTTCAAGATGCGCAGGTGTGTCATTGTACTATGATATCTATCGTTTGCCGTCCACCGTGCTAATGAACTCTCATGTCTTTAAGAGCCAATTTATAGATCTTGGGGAAGCGAACATGTAAAACGGATGTTAGTGTTATTCGGAGACGACAATCTGTATACACCATTCAAGGATTAGTTGGGTGATTTCGACGAAATTCAACAGGGGCATTGTTTTCTTCACGCGTTCCTCGACGGAACCTTGTCGGTTAACCTATTCAACCACCTTAACCTCATAGCTTTGTACGTCCTGCCATATGCATATGCTTGTAGCCCGCACAAGGGTTTTTTACATCCTATAAGAAGTTGATGGTAGAAAACGTCGAAATTGTGAGTGTTTTCTATCCACATATGGTGTTCAAAGCAATGAGCCAGATTTCTTCTCATTCAATTTTCAATAGAAACCGATTGTCGTCCGAAAGGGCATGATGCATCGGCGATCTCTTTTCATATCAGTACAAAGAAATTCTTTGTGACTACTTTCACAGGCAGATACCTTTGTTTGTTGCTGGTAGATATAATCAGCACCCGGGATGTGCCAATCCCCTCCATCCAGAATTCAAGATACGAAGTCCTCATCCCATCTCGATTTCTGCTAGCGCAATGGGGATGAATCAAGTGCCTATTCTTTCCAATACCGGAGTGAGTCTGTTGAGCTGTCAATAATTCTTCACTTAAGCTTTTCAGATCATTATACGCAGTGTTCGCGCACGTATATACCGCGCAAATGACTCGAATTCGGCACCAATACGAGTGTTCTACCGCGAGGATTCTTTTCGATTAGAGAGAGGAAGATTTGTTCTCGCATCTACGGAATTACCACATCCCCAAGCTCAGCCTTACATACACGATTCCATCGTGAAAGTTGTTCACCGCGGCAAACAGTACAAATTTCGAGTATTCTACAAACGACACAAATTACTTCCTACGAACCAAGCGATTCTCCAACTAGCCGGTGCTCCGATGGATGGAGATGTCTTAGTTGTTGCCTGTGGCACAAAGGTCGGCATCAGAAATTTTGGAGGCAGGCTGGAGATACGCGCAGCAGACAAGGCTGTAAAAAGGTTCATTTCATACTTGACCCGTTTCACTGTCGAGAATATCTAACATTAAATCAGGTTTGCCCAACACATAGCACCCTTCAGGACAAGACGAACCTTCCCAGCATCAGTATCCTTATGATAGTAATGAAAACGCATTCACCTGTACATGTATAGCTTCCCTATCATATTTTACCGTAACATTGAATTACACTACAGCGATTACTTTACTGTATTTTACTTATGTATCTAAGTGCCCTCGTTCTGTCTCTCATGCAACTAAGAGTCTTTGGGTTATTATTGTCTTTTGTGAGTTCACGACCATGTTAAAAATCGATTTGAATCTACAGATACAGCGCTATGAAGGCTACCTGCTCATCGAGCGCTCATCTTTTGCTTAGTTTATTGCGGCGCCCTGTAAACGGGCTTGAGAAGACTGGGGAAAAACAGCGGCGGAAACCGGCAACAATGTTGCTTTGTCCTTCTCCTTTTGAATTTGAACGTTTGAATGCCCCTTGGACTGGAACACGTATGAATTTCCTTTGAACTTGAACATTTGAATTCCCTTTGAACTTGAATGCTTGATTGAGCCATATTCCGTTATGACTCGCTTTCATTCATCGATGCAGGGAAGGGTCTTTTGATCCGGTGAGCACAATGTCTGATTCATTTGGCAGCATTCATATAGCTTAGCCACCTCCAATTCCTTGCTCTCACTTTCCTCGCCTTCGTCATGTACCAACATCTCATCACCTTACAGGACTCTCGAGATGCTGTTATCTGTCTTTCGTTTTCTCCCCAGGCCAAATTTATTGCAGCTGCAGGTAGGTGATTATTGCCAGCTTATGATTGTCAGACCCATCTCTCCACAGGTTACGGCGGTGTGACCGTTTGGGATCTAGAATCGTTCGATCCTATACCCATACCAAATAACATCTATAACCCGCGTAATCCTGACAATGTCTACTCGGCCTGTGCTTGGCTGCATTTTGAACAGGCAGATAGATATTTTCTCATTGTAGGGTCACAGGAGGGCACAGTGTCTATCATGCAGCTGGAAGCAAATGACGAGGTGTGCAATTCAAATATTTGTTATGCTACATCCACTGATTAAAAGTTTTATGTTTTCAGGCCTTTCATACCACTGTTCGGGTGGTTCCTGAACCTTCAGGTTTTCAGGTCCTTTCGATTGACGTGTATCACACCGAAATCGAAATAGGAAAACTCGCTCGTATCGCAGTCGCAACTGCTGATAATCGAACCACGGTCTATACTCTATCTTCATCCGGGGTTTTTCGGGAAATATTTTCAGCCACCGTCGAAGATTTTTCACTCATTGCTGCAAGGTTCTGTAAGAAGACTGCAGATATCTATGTTTTCGAACTAAATGGTGGCACAATGTAAGTCGCTTAGTTTATAACGAATACCTTGAATGATTCTTATTGGCTTACCAGAATGAGACTCGATTACAAAACCGGGGACGTCAAGTCAAATCAGAAATATGGACCTGACCCCATGTGCGAATTTCTCCATTTTGCTCCTCAGAATGCCTTTACTGAGGTCTACTGTAGGGGAACTGTATGCATTGACGACTCGAGTAATTTCTTTGTAGCCTGCACCGGCGCGGACTTCCAGATGTTACGCCTTGACACAATTGAGCACATCCAAACTTTCTCAGGTCCAGACCCTGTGGTTCGCTTCCCTAAGGTTGCCACATTTTCCGAAGATGGTGCTGTCTTGATTGGAGGTACGGACAGGGGGCATGCTATGGTTTTCGATGTTCAGAGCGGTGCCAAGGTTCAACCGCTCAAATATGCAAAGGGAGGTTTAGTCCAACCTGTTGCTGTGAGTATTCCGCTAAATGTTCAACTACCATGCGTTGTTCCTGAATCAGTTTTAGGCATGTACGTCCAAGAAAGGATTCCTAGCTGCTATCGCCGGATCGACTATGGAAACTTCAGCCGAGGTCGTGATTTATCAAAAGAATCATCTCCCCCCTTCCACTCCGAAGTCTAACGATAACACGAAAGCGAGCCTCTACCGTTCTTTCATGAATAGAGGCTCCATACAGTTTATCTTTGTCATGTTAGGGATATCGTTGATGCTCAATGGGCTTTATTCTTTGGCCCTTACCTACACTCCTGTGGTATGTTTTTCCAGGTTCCTTGATTTCGCCCACTCCATAATGTCTTCATTGTCCAGGTCCAGTCTATGTTAGAAGCCAAATCTGCGACGTCAGGATCTCAGAGAACTATCAAAGTTCACACAGATTTTGCCCCTACATACAATCGTCGTGATACTAATAGTCCTAATAGTATCTCTGATGCATACACTATCATAGAGTCTCGGTACGCTCCGGAGCATCTGAATGCCCTGGACTAGTTTTGCCCATTTCATAGCAGTATCTTTCTGTCCCTGTTTCTACATCTCCATATGTCGCTCGATTTCTGTACAAGTTGATATTGATACAAATACAACTTTTTCTCTGTCGTTACCTTGGTGTTGTCCGACATATGGGAGTAGATGGGAGTAGATGGGAGTTCAAACGCGTTCAATGTTCAGGTTCAAGATGAGCGCTAATATTGCAAGCTTGATTCTTCACTCATCGCACGTACATAAGTTGTGCCAATATTGGACTCTCACTACACGTACACGTCAAGACGGCACCATCCTTCTAAATTTTCTCCTACGGTATAACGAATCATGGGGTGCACAAAGAGGAGTCCTTAGTGTTCTACGGTCACAACGCGTGTTTTACCTATTGTGAGTATGCATACTTTGGTCGCACCTGAAGAACTTATGTCGTACCTCTATAGGTACGAATATGTCAAGAATTGACATCGGCCTATCACTGCAAGAAATGAAACACCTCAACGCGCGTCTACGACTGTCATGCCCTGCCCCAAAAGCTCCCCTAGTCACTCTCCTAGACATCCCAGAACAGCGTATCAGCTCCCTTACACCTCCCAAATAACCTCCCACAAACCTCCATGAACCACGGAACCCTAACTAACCTCCCCACCAACGCTAACCTCCATCTGAAGCGGCAGCTCCGCGATTCGCGTACGCCGCCGGACAATCCCCTATCAATTTAGCCTCATGGGTTCCGCACTTCACGCCAACCCCATTAGATGCTCGTTTATTACAATGTCCCGTTACTATTCAGCCCACCTATATAAGTATCCTCTGTAACATAAACGTCCCTAGCTTGGTATATTTTGAACACACACCCTTTACATAGGTCCAGTCCCTGTCCCTTTGTACCTGCTACCTATACGGAATTCTCTCTACTCTCTGTCTCTCTACTTCTGTTTCTCTCTACTACTGTCTATCGTCTCTCTGATCGTCTATACGATCGAATATACGCTTTTACTTCAAGTCTAAGCCTTCCGAGTGAGTCTCCGAGCTCCCTCGAACATTACTAAAGCTCCCCAACGCCTACCCGCTTGGTGAGCTACCCTTCCCCAAACCTCCCAGAGCTCCCTAGCTACTTCGTAAGCTTCGGGACCTCAGTCTAGGTAACGTCGAAGCTACCCCTCACGTCGAACTACGTATTGCTTCTCCGTTACCACCTCCCACACTCGAGGACGACCATCCTCAACCCCAGCCCCCAGGGACCTACCCTCCCTGGCGTATCCCTTCTCGGGAGCTTACACCCTCGAGCCCCAGTTGCATAAACTACCTACTCGATCCTATATTGACGTTCTAGCGAGTACAACTCCTACTACGCAATATCGTACGGTCCCGCACTCTTCCTGAACCTCCCTACGCATTAGGGACCTCCCTGGACCTCCTAGGAACCCCACAAGGGTCACCATCTCGTCGTTCCAACCACTACTAGGTCATTCCCGTCCTCGGTCGCGGTTCTCGTAGCTCCCTTCGAGCTCCAGCCTGCTCCTAGCACGCTACAACATAAACCTTCGCATACCAAAACCTACCCTAAGACCCATTTTGACCCAGGTCTTACATTATACCAAGCTCTCCCGTCACCGAACGGACTCGTCGCGACGAAATGTCGGCGACGTCAACGGAACGACCTTCTAGTTCCAAGACCGAATCAAAGAAACAAAAGAGCGCCTTATCTCGTGGAAACACGACACAAGCTCAGAAATCGAACCAGGCTGCTAGCTCCACTGTCATCACGGTGGCAGCTGGTCAACGCCTGATGTCCATCCCAGAACAGTCGTTCGGGGATGAAACCGCCAGCAACATCCGGACCCCAGAGGGACGTCAACCGGAGGTTCAGGGGCCCCCTCCAGTGGAACCTGGGATGGGACCACCACAACGGAGGTTTACCTCCATGGGTTACGCCCAACCTGCCAGTAGTCCCATGGGAGGTTTCGCATACTCCCCTACCTGGGGAACAAGAGGACCTCCCCCTGGACCGATACCGCAGCTAGACATGGAGTCAGCTTCGAACGCGGGTAGAAGAGTCAGCGGCCAAGTAGCCGCTATCGAAAGGATACAAGGGGGGAGTACTGACCCTCTCACAGTACGACAACAGGAGAAACTTCCAGAGAGGAGGGTATCCCCTGCAGTATCCGAACAATCTCGGACGTCATCCCGGAGGTTACCAACACCTCCAGTACAGTCCCTTAACCTTCCTCCTCCGAGACGAGGAAGTTCACTCGCCAGTCTCCTGAAGAGCCCAGCTATGAATACGCCCAACTGGGAGCGTACGCACGCAATACACCATAGCAGGACCAACTTCCCCGTACAACCCTTGTCCGAAATGACATTGCGTCTGGAAGACGTCACTCGAATTCAGGAGTGTATCCCGGAAGATGTAGCTATGGTCCTAAGGGAGGTATTGGAGTCAATGGGGATCGAAGTATTGGGAGACGGTCTCGAATTCTCAGACCTACGAGTACAGTTCCTAACAGTGGGAACTCAATTGGAGATAGACCTCCCAGAGAAGGCCCAGCAGTGGCTGATGACCCCCGCGAATCGATCAGATTTTCTCTGGCTGTACAACGTCCTGTTGGACCCAGAGAGGATGTTGGAACTGTTAGAGGCAGAGGCACGTTACGGACGATCGTTCCGAAACTCGAGGGGAATACTTCCCCTCCTCCCTCATACCCATGGAAGGGAGAAGGAATTCTGTGGCGAAGCAGGGCTACGTATATTGTACCGAGCCTCTAACTACAGATCAGGAGCTGTACGGTTTGAACCTCCCCCTTCGAGGGTGAACATACCGAACTACCAGGCGATCCAAATACTTCGGAACGCAAACCTAGCGGAAGCAGCAGCTAAAATCGATGAGGAAAGTAACGAGGATGCTAACGCAATCGCTGCAAAAAATCGTAGACGCAGGAGGTACACCACGGCTCACCTCCTGGCCCCAGTGGAGTCAATGCCTGATCAGGATAGTCCCGTCCGGGTCCGTAACGGACAGACGGTATACACGTACACGCCCATGAGGCATATGCACCAGCTTCTGGTGAGGAGTGAGGAGTCTGAAGCGATGTTGTGTTCGCAGGAGACCCGACATCGGACGCTACTAGCGGAATCAGACACTCTGATGCTGTCGGAGGAACTTTCTGGATCGAATCTAGAAAGAGCTTTGGAATTCCGTCGCAGACTGGTCGCGGATAATCGGGGAACCTCGTATATGGTTCAATGCGAACTCGAAAGCGTAGGGGAGTTCCCTCCGGAGCAATTTGACCAGAAAGGGCAGCTCCATGGATCTGATGGTCGTTTCCTGGCGCAGAAACATTCATCGCCCAGGAATACCGAGGTTCCTGAACTCCTTAACCCCGGTAACACGGCCACGAGGAGCCCCCAGTTACGCTCTGGGACCTCCCCCACTGTACATGCCTTGGCTCAACATGCGACTCCTCCCCCCAGAGTTAACCTGCAAACGAAACCTTTAACCCCAGTCTCGACGCAGCGATACCAGTTTGGTGAGGTGAGGATGGATGGCGCACAACATTCATCCTGGATCTCCGGACAAGATCTGACAGCTCGGTTGGCTCCCAACCCTGTACACGTTCCTCCAAGACTGAGCAATCCATCAGTCATTCCGTATCAAGGGTCGGTATCGATGCAATCTCAGGCAGTGGGAACGGAAAGTCAAAGGGGTCCGAACCAACGAAGAACGTTGGCAGTTCACGAAGAGGCGGTACCCCCGCAGGGAGCTCCTTTTGGAACTCCCTTTGTAACGGGAGCTCAGATGAACCGACCTGGCATGGCTTTCGAGTCGGCACGCTCTCAGGAATCGGTAGCAATGATCCAACAACAGGCTCGGGTCATTGAGACGCTCCAGGAACAACTCCGTGAGGTAAAGAAAGGATTCACAGCGGGGGAAGTACCGACTGGAGGACCCCTTTCCAAAACAGGAAACACGGCGGGATTATCCGGGCGAGCACCTAGGGTAATGAGAGAATATACGAGGGGGGGTCCTTCTCCTGTAGTTCCCCAGCCAAGGAGCTGGCAAGCTACGGAACCAATATCCTTTAACCGAAACACTCCTACAGGAGCTAGGGATGGAAACCCCCAGGTAGAACAAGCAGGACAGATCCCGGATACTCCGAGTGTGGACCGACGACGTATTCACGAGTGGGGAGCCCGAGTACAAAGAGCTGAACTAGGGGAGTATGGGAGACCAGAAGGAGGAGCGTACGCGTTGGAAAACGAGGGAGGAGGCAAAGGCGGTTTTAACCCCCCTCCTAGAGTACCTCCCCCACATTTTTCTAGTCAATCGAGAGATCGAGAACGACCTCTGAGTCAAGGGGGACAGGGTCAAAGAGAACAGGGAGGAAGGAGCGGGGGAGGGGCACCACCTCCGCCTCCTCCTCCTCCACCACCTTCCGGGGGACCGAGTGATAGTAATTCGGAAGGTTCCAATGAAGGGGAACAGAACAAATCGAGTAGGAATGGTGGAAGGAGAGAGGAGGACAGAGGAGAGCTCCCCACTGGAGCTCCTGACGTACCTCCAACACGCTATGACCCGGACCAACCCTGGTACTACGATCCAAGACAAGGTTGGCACCATAAGACAGCTCCTAGACCTCCCAACGAGGGACGAAGTACGTGGGAGAGCAACGAAGAAAAAAATCGGATTACCATTGAGTCGAAGCTCGACGTCGGTAAGATCGAAAGCTTCGCAGGTGACGACCGGTCGGCATGGAAGACGTGGGTCCTCAGTTTGGAAAGGATGTTTGGAGTACGACCTACCATCTATGCTCGGGAAAAGGACAAGTGCGCTTCCGCAGCTAG